AGAAGAACATAAAGAAAGTGAGACCTCATGCCAATTGGTCTCTTAAACTTGATGGCATTACATTGGGTTGCAAGTGAAGAAAAAAAGTTCAGGCCAGTGTACCATGCAGTGTAAATTGGCACTGCCATCTGAGAGTATAAGGTACCAGTGCTATGTGACACACCAGACAGGGAAAATAATCCTGGAGTGAGTTTAGGAGGGTTCTTTCCCTGATGCCCAGCCAGAACATGGCAACAGGAGCAGAATCAAAGAAATGAGTTTCTCTTTGGCAACTACTCTGAGTTTAGAGGGATATAGCATGGAGCAGGAGATGTGCAAATTGCTGTCTGCTTTTATTATCAAAGAACTTGGCTTCCTGTACCTCAGGAGAAAGTCAAGATAGACTGAAATTTTTGAGCAATTAATGGTTACGTCAGGGTGATCTCTTGCTAGTCTCAAATTTTTTTTGTTGTTAATTTGGTAGTTTGACTAGGCACTCTGTGGGCCTTTCCACTGCAAACAGATGTTCCCTGCCAAACATGATGCAAGTCTCAATAGATTTGGTGGGGTTTGTGCCTTCTGCATACTCAGGAATATTAATAAAGCTGAGATTGTGTATTTTCCAAATCTTCCACTGTCATCTTATGTTTTAGATCTACTGTATGTATGGCCACATCTTGCTTCAGAGTAGAATGGTCACCAGCAGGCAGGAGGGAGAGCTCAGCTTTAGTGGGAGCTCAAAGCACATCAAAATCAGCGGTGGCAGGCTGTATTGCACAATCAGCAGCAGGAGCCTAACACTTATTTGTCCAATTATACATGGAAATTCAGCCATGCCTCCACAACTCTGTTTAGTTGAAAATCCCCAGCTATTTAACTGAAAATTTGTGCTTTGCAGCTAATTTTGTGGCTGTCATGTGGATTCAATGACTGTTGTACTTTTGAGTTAGTTACCTGGTGCAACCTTCAGGAAAGTCAGAACAGTCCCTCTTATACTGTACTTCCATTACATGCAACGTGGGCATGGCCTTCAGTCTGCTACTACCCCACTCTGTCTGGTTCAAAATCAGACATTAAAGTAATAGAGGACCTAATGGCGTCCCTATATCATAGAGGAAAAATTCTGCAATGTGTGGTATCCCTGAACGGTTTTCTCAGACTCTGCAGTATACCAGGATATGATAAATCCACCTATTCCTGGTGGAGATTAGATATAGGAATGACCCCAGATCTTAGATAGTTCACACAGCCTTATGAACACAGATCTACGACCAGTAACACTTTTTATTATACCCATTTTGGAAACCGGTGACTGATGAGCACCTCCTAATGCAGTGATGGCGAACCTTTTTGAGCCCGAGTGCCCAAACTGCAACACAAAACCAACTTTTTTATTTCAAAGTGCCAACACTGGAATTAATCACTTGCCTACCGGGCACTTCTACCCCCTTCCTGCCCAGGACAATTTTCAGCTTTCAGTGCTGTTGCACTTAACAAAGACAATTGTGCGGTCATGCAACACTGTAACCATATGCAATTTTTATCATTTTTTTCACACAAATAGAGCTTTTTTTGGTGGTATTTAATCACCACTGGGTGTTTTATTTTTTTGCACTATAAATGAAAAAAGAGCAAAAAATTAAAAACATAAAAGGTTTCCTTTGCTTCTATTCTAAAATTTTGCAAACAGGTAATATTTCTTCTTTGATGTGTGTTGGTGAGGCTGCACTGATAGGCAGCACTGATGGGCATTGATGAGGCGGCACAGATAGGTAGCACTGATGAGGTGGTACTGGTGAGCATTGATGAGGAGGCTCTGATGATGCACTGATATGCAGGAAATGATGGGCACTGATAAGCGGCACTGACAGCACCAACTGGAGGCACTGACAGACGGCACTGACCGGCGGCACTGCTGGGCATCATTGATGGGTGGCACTGATGGGCAGCACTAATGAGGTGTCACTGATAGGCGACACTGATAATGGGTACTGATAGACAGCACTGACTGGCACAACCGCTGGGCACTGACTGGCAGCACTGCTGGGCTGCACTGATGGGCACTGCTGGGCTGCACTGGTGGGCACAGGTGGGCGCACTGTTGGGCACAGGTGGGCGCATTGCTGGGCACAGGTGGGCGCATTGCTGGGCACAGGTGGGCGCACTGCTGGGCACAGATGGGCGCATTGTTGGGCACAAGTGGGCGGGAACTTGTGTGTGGCACAGGTGGGCACCGATCATCAGGGCACTGATGATCAGTGACCCTGATGATCGGTGCCGATCCCTGTTCTGACAACTGCCGGTTTTCGGCAGTACTTTCCTTACGATCTGACAGCGTGAGGAAAGTGCAGCCGAGAACCGGCATTTGCATTTCCCGGTGATCAGCGTGTCATTGGACACGGCTGATCACGTGGTAAAAGGCCGCTGTGATTGGCCTTTTACCGTGTCACGTGATCAGCTGTGTCCGCAGGACACAGCGATCACGGAGATCGCCCGGTGCGCGCCCCTGGAGGTGCGCAGGAGAGTGCGTTCTCTTCCTCTTCCTCCTGGCGTGCCCACTGAGATGGCTCTGCGTGCCAGCTCTGGCACGCGTGCCATAGGTTCGCCATCATTGTCCTAATGCATCCCCTTCCCCATCCCCCTTGTTTTCCCTCTTCCTTTACCCTATTTATTTTTTTGTCCAGTCATCTCATTCTTTTTCTTCTACCATCTTGTATCCTCCTGCTGGCAGTTTCCGAATTGCCCTTCCCCTGTCCCCATCTATTTAGCCGCCGCCGCCTCCTCCCCCCCATGCCCTCGTATGCCCCATTTCAGCTTGGTCCTCCAGGGGAATATTATCCACATTTGTACCTGAATTTTGTCTTTTATTCCCAACTTCCTATTCTTATCTATGTGAAAATACAAGCTGCATTGGTTTGCATTTGGTTTTCTTAGACACTATCAGCGATCAGATGTTTTTTTTTGTTAAATAAAAAATTTAAAGAAAAAAAAAAGTCAGTACTTTAGATCTGTATATCTGTTATGGGTCAGAATGCACTGAAAGCCATTGCATGAACATGACAGCTAGGCAATTAGCATTTTCATAAGGAGAGGGTCAGGTATGGTGACCTGCATACTGTATGTCCTAAGTACAGATTAAACCTGGTGCATACTATAGTTCTTTGTGTTGTCTTCTGCATTCTATGCATGAAGGTAAGAAACTTGTGAACAGCAGTCCCTCCATCCCCCTTAATACATTTACCTGAGCCCATCGTGGTCCAGCAATGTGCACAAGAGCCTCGGCTCTCTGGAGACTCTTCCTCCTCAATGGCTCCTTCTGCTGTCAATCACAGCCAGTAAGACAATGAGGATGGGGGGTGGGGGGCTGAGCCGCAGCTGTGTGTACAAGGACATGCAGAGCAGAGGCTCAGGAGCAAATCTGCTTGGTTGCCCTATAGCAGCTGCTTGCTCTGGGGACAGGAGCCAGGAATGCCGACAGGGACCCGAGAACAAGATCAGGGCTGCTCTGTGCAAAAACCATTACAAAGAGCAGGTAAGTATGACATGTTTGTTTTTTTTTTTTTAAAAACTGCCTTTAACCACTTACCAACTAGCCGAATGACAACTACAGCACGGTTGTCCAGTCCTGGGTGGATGTCATATGACGTCCTCCCAGAACGCGATCTCCTCGATTGCTGTGTCCTACGGACACAGTTGATCACGTAATGTGGTAAAAGGGCAATCACAGCGGCCTTTTACCACATGATCAGCTGTGTTCAATGACACAGAAGATCACCAGTAAATGCAGTTGCCGTTTATCGGCTGCACTTTCCTCACACTGTGACAGCATGAGGAAAGTACTGCCGATAACTGGCAATTGTCAGAGGATGGATCGGCACTGATCATCAGGGCACTGCCGATCAGTGCTGCCCACCTGTGCCTACCAGTGCCGCCCATCATTGTTGCATATCAGTGCTGCCTCATCAACACACATCAGTGAAGGAGAAAAATTACCTGTTTGCAAAATTTAATAGAAACAAAAAAACTGTTTTATTTTTTGCTATTTTGTTGTTTATAGCACACAAAATAAAACACCCATGGTCAGTACCTTTTATTGTTATAACTTTGATTGTACCCACTATCTGAAATAAAGGTACTTTATCTAGTATCACGCTATGTGGTCCCGCATTGGGCTCTCCGTGTGAGTGCCATCATTCGCAGTGCCCATACAGCAAAGAGATGACCCCAGATGGTGATACATACTAGCGGACCAGGGAACCCTATACGCTGATGAGCCTGGAAGGTGATCTATGGTGTGATCGGACCTGGAAACGGATGACCTACTTATTGCTTGATGACGCAGGATTTCATATTGCGTATTTTAAACGCACTTCTGGTGAGTGCGTATTTCATTCATTTGAATCACATCATCTACCACTCCTGGTTCAGGACACCCACATATCTGGAGTTGTGATCCCTCAGGATCCACACGATTTTATCATCTTGAACTATCTAGTCACTAAAAATCACCACTAGGTGACATTATCTATTCTGCACTTGCTGATATTGTATCATACAGTATATACCGTATGTATTTATTATTCTTTAGCGCTGCACCTATTATACTGTGATCTATTTTGTACTGGAGGTTTTCTTATGGTTACCTTTTCTGGTGTTCTAGCAGCTTGATCTTTACTCTCTATAGCTAAAGGTAGCGCTCGCTTAGCATCCCTTTATTGTAGAGCTGAAAATTGGCCTGGGCTGGAAGGGGGTATAAGTGCCTGGTAGGCAAGTGGTTAATATCACTCTAAAGCCATCTCTGGCCCCACTTGTTAGGTGAAATGATTTTCATAGCACAGTGTACAGTATATGATAAATCATTCTTTTCTATTGTTCCCCCAATTTGATATGAAATTCAGCTTAGGACTCTTTAAGAATGCTTTTTATTTAGCAGGTATAAAAAAAATATATATAATACAAAATACTAGGGATTTCTTGTTGAGATACAAAGTAAACTGATATCTTGCTTTCATGTAACATCCTTAGGCAGTCTGAGAGTAGGAAATGTTTGTTTTCTTCAAAGCTTCTAGGAAAAGCTGCTCATCTTCTAGAAAGTCCCGATCCTAAAAGAGAATTGGAAAAAGTAACCAGACAATTAGCAGTAGAATTATGTGTTGTGTGAAGTCCCTGCTTCTAAGAGACTGCAGTGCAAGCAGGCAGGGGTACATCTTTCTCCTGAATGAGGAATGTACCTGAATAGGGCTGTCTCAGGGGGTTCTTAATTTCAAAGTAGTGTGCTTGTAGATGCTAAACATCAAGTTTACCTGTCACTTGCACTAAATACCAGGCATTCCCGGGTGGTTGTATATCATGCCCAGTTCTAGAGTGCTAATGAACCGCCAAAACCCAGAGTCCTCCATTATGCAAATACTAACTGAGCAACTATGAGGAAAGCTATCCTCCCGCTATAAAGAAAGATTAGAGGAACTGAATTTATTCTCTCGAGAAGAGGAGATTAAGGGGGGATATGATCAACATGTATAAATACATCAGTGGCTCATATAGTGAACTTGGTGTAGAGTTATTCACCCTGAGGTCATCACAGAGGACAAGGGGGCACTCTTTATGTCTGGAGGAAAAGAAATGTAATCTCCAAACACGGAAAGGTTTCTTCACAGTAAGAGCTGTGAAAATGTGGAATAGACTCTCTCAAGTGTTGGTTCTGGCCAGCTCAGTGGATTGCTTTAAAAAAGGCCTGGATTCTTTCTTGGATACACAGAATATAACTGGATACTGACATTTATAGGTAAAGTTGATCTGATTGCCTCTCAAGGGATCAGGAAGGAATTTTTTTCCCCTGCAGGAGTGTTAAATCTAAATTATGATTCGGCACTTATATTGATGGCAAGCTTGCAAAATATTTGGTTTTTATGATTAGTCATTATTAATATGTGTAAGTGGTCTATTGACAAATGGTAGTATTAGTATTCTTCAATTATAGCTGAGACCAAAAGATATACAAGTTAGCTGAGACAGCTAACTAGTTGTAGACTATATTTAGATATAGTTGGTTAAAAGTATCTGTTAGTTATGTCAAGGTTATTAGAAGTGACTTACTATTACATTACGTATTTTAATGGTATCTGTGTGTATTTAGTATACGTTTCTAACATTGATACATTTACGTCATTAGCTTATAATATTATGTACATCAGCATACATATGTTCCTGTCCATCAAAGACATTATGTGAGTGTCGTCCCCTCCCTTCTATGCCATACAAGGTATTAAGATGACACACACTCATGCTGCATAAAGGGGGCCTTGAGGGACAGAGACTCTCACACACACACTTACATGCTACATAACTCTTGCATACACACGTCTGAAAAGCTGCAACAGGTGCATACTGCTGCTAGATCATCATATCCGTCTACTTCCGGCTGCTTCTTCAACAAAGTCATTGAGTTGGACAAGGACATGAGAATCGCACATGGCAAGGACAGCCATGACAGATAATGGTGACTTTGTTTTAAACATTTGCTTGTAATTTTTACAGTAGTTTTATCTACATGGAACTGTTCATAATACGCTTTACATTGTTATTTGACACCATTGTGTGATAGAATAAAATCACACGTCATTTTTTATTTCAATGGCTCTTTCATTCATAATCGCTTCAAGACACTAGAAGAAGTATTATGTGTCTAAAAATCCAACAAGGAGCAAATTGGATCATGCTTTGCTGGGTTTTTTTGCCTTTCTCTGGATCAACTGTGGGTATAGGATTATAACTTTTTTTCTTTATGCCAGATTAACTATGGTTTTTGTTTCTGGCCTGCTCTCAACTGCCTCAAAAATGGCCAGTGACGCTGCCTACTACAGTTATAGGCCAGCAATGAGGCACAGGAGCTGAGAACTCATGAATATCATATTAGCTCGCTTGTGTTTCAGGGATCCTGAGACAAAAGGGACCCAGAATATTGACAGAATAGTGGTTTTCCTGTAGACTTCACATGAAGATTTATTAAGATTGTAGCTGCATTCAGGGGGTGAGGCCAACAGGAAGGGTGAGCATTTACACTCTTTTCACAGCTATAACTTGGCCAAGCAATTTAAATATAGCGACAGGGTTGCTTTAAGCGGTATAGGTCAGAGATATGTAGCAAAGCAAGAAAAGCCAACTAATCAATTTAAGTTTCATTTTTCTAGGGCAAGTTAAAGGAAAGCCAAACGCTATGATAGGCACAACAGCCATGATTTTATTCCATTGCTCTAGCTGCCAGATGGGTCTAGTGTTTTGTGAGAGGTAGAACTGGGAACTTGGATCTTCCTGAGCCTTTTCACAGGCTCAACAATACACTACCAGAGGGTAAAGAATGGAGGTCTGATGCACTAAAGTAGGGGTCTCCAAACATTCAAAACAAAGTGTCAATTTACTGTCTTTCAGACTTCAGGGGGGCCAGACTGTGGCCATTGGGAGTAGAAAAGGTCCTGACGTCAATTGGAAAAAACAATGTCCAATCATTGGTGTCATTGGGAGCAACTGCACCCTGTCCTTGGTGTCATTAGGTGGAATTGTGCCCCTTCATTGGTGTCAGTGGGGGGAATTATGCCCCATTGTTAGTATCAGTGGATGAAATAGTACCCCAAGGGCCAGAAAAAAAAGCAAGCAAAGGGCCGCATTTGACACCCGGGCTGCAGTTTGGAGACCACTGCACTAAAGCAATGATGGAAAGAAAAATCCGGGGCCCTGTGCTGTGTGTCCACATTTAATGTCATGTTTGATTGGTGTAGTCATGACTTGATTCAGTATCTGCTAAAACTGTCATTTTGTTCTAACAGTTAGAAACATTAATTTAAATTTACATTTACCCTCCAAACTTTATTTACCAAAATGTAAAAAATATCCGAATAAAGTCCAATAAAAGTGCAAAAGTAATAATAATAATGTCCAATATAGTGCAAGAAAGTATCCTCTTCAAAGAGCCTTCGTCAGAAGCACCACATATTATGCCCGGGTACAAGATATATGTATGATCCACAAAAACATTTGCATCATTAACCTCCAAAATTATACCAACATTTTAAATAAAACAAGTGTCAAAGTTTAATAAAGTGCAAAAAAAATAAAGTCCAATATAGTGCAAGAAAGTATCCTCTTTAAAGTTCTTTCTTTCAGGATCACAAGTGAGACACAATCTCCACCCCCAAAAGCACCAGAGACTCTTTCCAAATGTTGAAGCTCAGCATTCAGAGGGTCAAGACACAGTTGTGTATGGAAATCCCCATAGGATCAGTGTAACCACAGTCATTCTTCCACTTGCAAGGAGACACAGCAATTCCTCTCTCATTTGCATGGAAAGAATGGAGGTTCTGGATAGTGCATGTTTATCTGAGGATGGTTTTAAAAAATACATATTAAACTTGCAAAAGTGAAAATAAATGAAAAATTGACACCTTGTAGTCCTGCTGCCATATGCAGGACGTGGCGATGTCAACGCACTATGCGACGTCCTATGCGTTTCCTTACAGATGACATCATCAGGGGCCATAGACAAATAAGATCCTTGGATTTACCTACACTATCTAGATACTTCCTCCTTTCTTTTCACCCAATTGGGAGTGGAATTGTTGTATCTCCTTTAGAGATGAGCGAATTTCTCAAAAATTCGATTCGGCGAATTCCAGTGTGAAATTCGATTCGATGCGAATTTCTTTGTACCTTTAATTTAAATGCCCTTGGAGATGAGGAAGGAGAAGGAGAGGAGAAGGATGAGAGGAGAAGGAGAAGGATGAGAAGGAGAAGGATGAGGAGAAGGAGAAGGAGAAGGAAGAGAAGATGAGAGAAGGAGAAGAGAAGGAGAAGATGGAGAAGGAGAAGGAAGAGAAGAAGAGAAGGAGAAGGATGAGAAGGAGAAGGAAAGGAGAAGGAGGAGAAGAAGGAGAAGAGAGAAGAGAGAAGGAGAAGGATGAGAAGAAGGAGGAGAAGGATGAAGAAGAAGGAGAAGGAGAAGGATGAGAAGAAGGAGAAGAAGAGGAGAAGATGAGAAGGATAAGGAAGAGATGAGAAGAAGGAGAAGGATGAGAAGGAGAAGGAGGAGAGAAGGAGAAGGATGAGGAGAAGGAGAAGGATGAAGGAGAAGGATGAGGAGAAGGAGAAGGATGAGAAGAAGGAGAAGGAGAAGGATAAGAAGAAGAAGGAGAAGGAGAAGGATGAGAAGAGAGGAGAAGGATGATGAGAAGAAGGAGAAGGATGAAGAAGAGAGAAGGAGAAGGAGAAGAAGGATGAGAGAAGGAGAAGGATGAGAAGAAGGAGAAGGAGAAGAGAAGAAGAAGGAGAGGAGAAGGAAGGAGAAGAAGGAAGGAGAAGGATGAGAAGAAGGAGAAGGAGAAGGATGAGAAGAGGAGGAGAAGGATGAGAAGAAGAGAGAGAAGAGAAGGAGAGAAGAAGGAGAGAAGAAGGATGGAGAAGAAGGAAAGGAGAGAGGATGAGAAGAAGAGAAGAAGGAGATGAGGAAGAGAAGAAGAGAAGGATGAGAAGAGAAGGAGAAGAGAGAAGGAGAGAAGAAGAGAGAAGAGAAGGATGAGAAGAAGGAGAAGAGAAGGAAGAAGAGAAGAAGAGAAGGATGAGAAGAAGGAAGGAAGGATGAGAAGAAGGAGAAGGATGAGAAGAAGGAGAAGGATGGATGAGAGAAGGAGAAGGATGAGAAGAAGGAGGAAGAAGATGAGAGAAGGAGAGGATGAGAAGAAGGAGAAGGAGAAGGAAGGAGAAGAAGGAGAAGGAGAAGGATGAGAAGAAGGAGAAGGATGAGAAGGAGAAGAGAAGGATGAGAAGAAGGAGAAGGAAGAAGGATGAGAAGAAGGAGAAGGATGAGAAGAAGAGAAGGAGAAGGATGAAGAAGAGAAGAGGAGAAGGATGAGAAGAAGGAGAAGGAGAGAAGAAGGATGAGAAGGAGAAGATGAGAAGAAGGAGAAGGATGAGAAGAAGGAGAAGGATTTTTATGAGAAGATGGAGAAGGAGAAGGAATTGAGAAGATGGAGAAGGAGAAGGATGAGAAGAAGGAGAAGGAGAAGGATGAGAAGATGGAGAGAAGAGAAGGATGAAAGAAGAGAAAGGAGAGAAGGATGAGAAGAAAGGAGAAGGATGAGAAGAGAAGGAGAAGGAGAGGAGATGAAAGAAGGAGAAGAAGGAGAAGGATGAAGGAGAAGATGAGAGAAGGATGAGAAGGAGAAGGATGAGAAGGATGGAGAAGGATCTGAGAAGAAGGAGAAGGATGAGAGAAAGGATGAGAGAAGAGAAGGATGAGAAGAAGAAGGATGAGAAGAAGGAGATGAGAAGAAGATGAAGAAGCAGGAAAGGATGAGATTTCTGACAGTTCTGTGACAGTAGTGTATGTCTTCCATTTCCTGACAAATTGTATCTATTAGTTTCCATTTAGGTTACAGATGTTTCAACCCGCTGTACATGTGAAGAAGCTGTGAGAGAACTGTCAGAAATAGAGGAACTCTGCACATACACTTTTTGCCGGCTTGGAATTATTCTTCTTTTCATCCTACTTCTTCTTCATCTTCTACTCTTCTTCTTCTCATCTCTCATCTTCTTCCTCAGAAGAAGAGGATGAGGATGAGGATGAAGAAGAAGAAGAAGTAGGATGAAAAGAAGAATAATTCCAAGCCGCAAAAAGTGTATGTGCAGAGTTCCTCTATTTCTGACAGTTCTCTCACAGCTTCTTCACATGTACAGCGTGGTTGAAACATCTGTATCCTAAATGTAAACTAATAGATACAATGTTTCAACCGCTAAACATGTGTTCCTTCTGTCAGAGAACTGTCAGAAATAGCGGAGCTCACTGCAGGGACACTTTTGCCGGCTGATCGGGAAATGTTCGATTCGCGCACCCGAAGTAGGCAAAATTTCGGTTTCGCCGAATCGAATATTTCCTGAAATTCGACTCGAATTCCGGTTCGCCTGCTGCAAATGTTATTGTGGATCATACATACTGTATACCTTGTATCTGGGTAAAATACAGTGAAGGAAAATATGTATTTGATCCTCTGCTGATTTTGACTCTTTGCCCACTCACAAAGAAATGATCAGTCTAAAAATCAAATGGTAGGTGTATTGTAACACAGAGACAGAATAGCAACAAAAAATTCAAAAGAAATGCATGTCTAACAAATTATGCACTGATTTGCTTGTTCATGAGGGAAATAAGTATTTGATCCCCTTCATGACTTAGTACTTGGTGGCAAATCCCTTGTTGGCAATCACAGAGGTCAGATGTTTCCTGTAGTTGGCCACCAGGTTTGCACACATCTCAGGAGGGATTTTGGCCCACTCCTCTTGGCAGATCCTCTCCAAGTCATTAAGGTTTGGTGGCTGACGTTTGGCAACTCAAACTTTCAGCTCCCTCCACAGATTTTCAATCAGATTAAGGTCTGGGAGACTGGCTAGGCCACTCCAGGACCCTAATGTGCTTCTTCTTTGTTGCCTTGGCTGTGTGTTTTGGGTCATTGTCATGCTGGAACACCCATACATGACCCATTTTCAATGCCCTGGCTGAGGGAAGAAGGTTCTCACCCAAGATTTGATAGTACATTGCCCCGTCCATTGTCCCTTTGATGCGGTGCAGTTGTCCTGTACCCTTAGCAGAAAAACACCCCCAAAGCAGAATGTTTCCACCACGTTTGACAGTTGGGATGGTGTTCTTGGGGTCATAGGCAGCATTCCTCCTCCCTCCAAAACATGGCGAGTCGAGTTGATGCCAAACAGCTCGATTTTGATCTCATCTGACCACAAAACTTTCAACCAGTCCTCCTCTGCATCATTCAGATGTTCAGTGGCAAACTTCAGATGGGCCTGGACATGTGCTTTCTTGAGCAGAGGGACCTTGCAGGCACTGCAGGATTTCAATCCTTGTCGGTGTAGTGTATTACCAATTGTTTTCTTGGTGACTGTGGTCCCAGCTGCCTGGAGATCATTGACAAGATCCTCATGTGTAGTTCTGGGATGATTCCTCACTGTTCTCATGATCATTGACACTCCACGAGGTGAGATCTTGCATGGTGCACCAGACCTAGGGAGGACTGACAGTTGTTTTGTGTTTTCTTCCATTTGTGAATGATTGCACCAACTGTTGTCACCTTCTCACCAAGCTGCTTGGCGAGAGATTTGTAGCCCAGTCCAGCCTTGTGTAGGTCTACAATCTTGTCCCTGACATCCCTGGACAGCTCTTTGGTCTTTGCCATTGTGGAGAGTTTGGAATCTGATTGTTTGATTACTCCTGAGGACAGGTATCTTTTATACAGGTAACAAAATGAGATTAGCAGCACTCCCTTTAAGAGACTGCTTTCTAATCTCAGCTTGTTACCTGTATAAAAGACACCTGGTAGCCAGAAATCCTGCTGAATGATAGGGGATCAAATACGTATTTCCCTCATGAACATGCAAATCAGTGCATAATTTGTTGGACAGCATTTCTTTTTGAATTTTTTGTTTTTTGTTGCTATTCTGTCTCTCAGTGCTATAATACACCTACCATTCGATTTTTAGACTGATCATTCCTTTGTGAGTGGGCAAAACATTCAAAATCAGCAGGGGATCAAATACTTATTTCATTCACTGTATGTGCTGTTTTTGAAATGCATTTCTATTTGAGTTTTATTTTTATTTTTTTTTAGTGCAGCAAGCATGGATTTTTAATAGATTTATTGAATTCAAATCTCCATAGGTTAAGTTTAACAAAATCAGCGTAATGGATAGAACTGAAAACATGTTTATTAGACTTGATCACATTAAAAAGGCTCGCCCATACCCGCTGTGCTGACAGCCTGAGAAGAGCCAGCTTGGCACAGATATCAGATGACTGAGGAGCTGTGTCCTGGGGAATTCCAGAGATGGCAAACTTTCTACTGGAGCTTGCAAAAGGCCACACCTGAAACAGACCAGAATGGTTACAATGGTACATGAGATTATTTTGTCATTGATGGGACACAGTGAAAGTCTACATGTTTCTTAAAGGATCTTTTTTTTTTTTTTATATGCCTTCTATTACTTGATACAATTTTGCAATCTACAGTGGGTACAGAAAAGAATCACCCCCCTTTAAAATAAACTTTTGTTTTTGCTTTGCAGCCTGATATGAAGACAAACTCAGTCTTTGTTTTATCCAACTTTAATTACTCAATGCAACTTATAACATCCAAATGAAAGATATGACACCAACATGTCAGAAAAAAAAAATTAAAACTAGAATCATTGAGTTGCAAAAAAAGGATCACCCCCCCCCCCCCTCCTCTAAAAATGACTTGTAAACTCAATCAGGTGTAGCTAATCACCTTCTCAATCGAACACAAAGCCATTTAACATTCAACTGTGATCGGCTGTGGTTATTTTGATTAGCTCAGCATGAAAAGAGCTTTCCTGGAGTATTTCAGTTTGTGGTAGTGCAACTGAAGCAAACAATCAACTTTGCGTTGCAAGACACTGTCAAAAGGTCTCGGGATAAAGTTGTGGACAGGCACAAGTCAAGAAATGGATACAAAAAATTTCAAAGGCTTTATCAATGCCTAGAAGCACAGTGAAGTCTATTATTAAGACGTGGAAGGTATTTGGTACAATACAGACCCTCCCTGGATCAGGACGTCGCTCCAAGCTGGGGGAAAGAGCCGGGAGGAAACTGGTCAGAGAGGCTACCAAGAGGCCTACAGCAACTCTGAAGCAGTTGCAGGAAATTATGACAAAGAGTGGTCATTGTGTGCATGGGACAACAATATCACAAATTCTCCACAAATGTGGCCTGTATAGGAGGGTTGCAAGAAAAAAGTCGCTCCTCAAGAAAGGCCACATACAGTCATGACTGAGCTTTGCACCTTGAAGATTCTGAGGCCACATGGAAAAAGTGTTATGGTCAGATGAGACTAAAATTGAATTATTTGAGCTCAACACCAAACAATATGTCTGGTGGGAATCCAATACAGCTCACCATCCAAATACCGCCATTCCTACAGTAAAGCATGGAGGTGGTAATTCCCTGTTATGGGGATGTTTCTCTGCAGCAGGGACTGGAGCACTAGTCAGGATAGAAGGAAAAATAAAGGCAAAATATCATTAAATTCTTGAGGAAAATCTGCTGTCCTCTGCCAGAAAGTTGTCAATGGGAAGAAGGTTTATCTTCCAACATGACAATGACCCAAAGTACACAGCAAAAAGGACCACGCAGTGGTTGAAGGAGGAAAGGGTGAATGTCCTTGCATAGCCTAATCAGAGCCCAGACTTAAACCCTATTGAAAATCTGTGGAATGACTTGGAAGACTGCAGTCCACACATGGTCACCATCAAATTTAACTAAACTTGAGCAATTCTGTAAAGAAGAAGAGCGGGCAAATATTGCAAAGTCTAGATGTGGAAAGTTAGTAGAGACATCTCCCAACAGACTAAAGGCTGATTAAAGCAAAAGGTGGTTCAACAACATACTGACACAAGGGGGTGATCCTTTTTCCAACTCAGTGATTCTGTTTTTTTTTTTTTTTTTCTGACATGTTGGTGTTACCTCTTTCACTTGGTTGTTAAAAATTACACTGAGTAAATACAGCTGGATAAAACAAAAACAGTGTATGTCTTCATTTCAGGCTGCAAAGCAACAAAATATGATTATTTTAAAAGGGAGTGATTCTTTCTATACCCACTGTAAATCTAGTAGGCCAAACAGTATTAACAGCGCACTTTGGCTATACATTCCTGTTTACTAAAAGGCAAATCATAATGCTTGCTGTACACCAGGGGTAGGCAACCTTAAAGAGGCGGAGATCTACCTTAACAACATGAGAGAAATCAAAGATCACCGGGCACAGTGTCACCTCCTCACACCTGATTTAAACCTTTAACCACTTGCCGCCCAGCCACCGCATATAAACGGCGGCAGGGCGGCACTCGTAGGCAAAAAGCACGTTTTAAAACGGCTGCCTTCAAAACAGGTAGGGGGCGCGCCCGCCCTACCTGTCCTGCGGGTGTCAGCCGCCGGGTCACGGCCGGGTTTTTTTTACCGTCGTTTTCCCGCGATTGACGGTGATCGCTGACAAAGAGCAGGGCTGCATTGTTTACACACAGCCCTGTTCTGTGTCAGTTCTCTGACAGCTTGTGAGAAGCTGCAGAGTTTCTCTCCCTCAATCAGCTCCCCCCTCCCTCCCCCCCCCCCATCCAGTACACACCCCCCGCCCCCTAGTAAAACACTCCCCTTACACAGCAAATTCTAAAAATGTTAACCCCTTCCTCCCCAGTGACATTAGTACAGTTTCAGTGGTTTTTTTTTTTCACTGATCACTGTATTGGTGTCACTGGGGATGTCAGTGACCCCAAGTCAGTTCCCCCCCCAGTGTCAAAATGTCCGCCGCAGTCCCGCAGTCCTGCCATAAGTCGCTGGTCGCCGCCATATGTCGCTGATTGCCGCCATATGTCGCTGATCGGCGCCATTATTAGTATAAATAAAAAATTCCAGTATCTTTCCCGCCATTTGTAAACGCTATAACTTTCACGTAAACCAATTAATTTACACGTATTGGGATTTTTTTTTAGCAAAGACATGTCGCAGAATGCATTTTGGCAGAAATTTATGACTAAATTTGATTTTTACATTTTTTTTTTACTGGACATGTTTTATAGCAAAAAGTCCAAAATATTGTTTTTTTTTTCCTCAAAATTGTCAGCCTTTTTTTTTATAGCGCAAAAAATAAAAACCGCACAGGCGATAAAAAATACCACCGAAAGAAAAGCTCAATTTGTGGGGAAAAAAGGATGTAAATTTCATTTATGTACCGTATTGCATGACCGCGCAATTGTCCGTTAAACTAGCACAGCACTGTATAGCAGAAAAATGGCGTAAATTGCAGTATTTATACCATAGTTTGTAGATGCTATAACTTCCACACAAAGCAATCAATATGCACTCATTGGGATTTTTTTTTTTTTACCAAAAACATGTAGCAGAATACATTTTGGCCTAAATTTATAACCAACTTTGAGTTTACTATATATTTTTTATAGCTGAAAGTAAAAAATATTGTTTTTCTTCAAAATTTTTTGGGCCTTTTTTTGTTTATAGCGTGAAAAAATAAAAAGCGCACAGGTGATCAAATTACACCGAAAGAAAGCTCTATTTGTGTGAAAAAAAGGACGTAAATTTTGTTTGGGTGCAGCATTGCATGACCGCGCAATTATCAGTTTGAATTAGTGCAGCGCCGAGTAGCAAAAAGAGGCCTGGTCATTAAGGGGGGTAAATCCTCAGGAGCTCAAGTGGTTAATTGCCATAATACTGCCTCACAATTGTGTACAATGCAGTGCTACACCCACCAACCATGACAGGGTATATAATACCTGCTTGGGCTGCAACATGTGTATACCCCTGGCCATTGCAGCTAAAGGGGGTGCAGTTGGGGCAGGGATGTAAAAAACACATCTTAACTATGGGGTTTTACCGTCCTCCAAACTGCAAATGTAAATGAAGCCTTACTGTTCTGAGCCCCCTATAAGGCTGCTTTCACACTGATGTGCTGCAGTTAACCTGCACTGTGGATGTATTTGTGACTTTCCTGGGTTAGATGCGCTTTGCCATAGACTTTATTATATCCTGCAGGTGTGGTGCACTTTGTGAAAGCGCACCAAAACTCCTGCATTCAAACCCCCATGAAAGCTGCCGGTACACTGCACTACACCTGCAGTGTGGGTAAACCGCAGCACATCAGTGTGAAAGCAGCCCTATACTATTATGCCCAATGTATTGCTTCACACTGACCTGAAGATCTCTTTTTTCCTGCTGCTGGCATCACTCTGGAGACCTCTAGCCAGGATAAGAGGTGGAGTGCAGTTGGTATCACTCTGCATGGGACAGGAGCCAGCACTACAGAGGAGGCATTGGCTTATGTGGCTCTTGCTCCCTACTACAGCTCCAGCTTTACAAGTAGTCCCTCTGAATTGCACTCTGATGCTCTGGAATGGCGGGTCAGCAAGCCCAGACAGAGATCTACCAGTAACCTGTCCGAGATCTACTGGTAGATTACGATCTACAGTATGCTGACCCTCACTGTACACTATGCAATGCTTGCTCATAAGGAGCACTAATAGTGCCAACATGATAGTATACCTTAACAAGCAAGTCAACATCCACATTTACATCATAAATTGTTGAGTTGCTGAACAATTGCTGTATCATTCATACAGAAAAAGGGCCCATTCACATTTGTTAGTGGCAGTAATGCTTCTTTTCCTCACAGTGCATTGCAGAATGCATGCCAACTCCAATGTCGGAGAAAACAAAAATATCCTATATTTACACCTGGCATATTAGTAAATCACCAGATATGCTTATTTACCTGTCTTGAAGAACATTTGTGTTGTTCTGAAGCTGACCTCTATCCAGAAATATGTCACATATTAAAGCAACTCTATGTTGTTTAATACATTATTAAATGTATTTTTAAAATGCAAGCCTTGCAAGTGCAAGAATTTGACTTGGAATTACCCTTTTGCAATCTCTGGACAACAGAGCTAATACTGGGCGAGGAAGAAGCTGTACAAGGTGTATGCTAATCGAAGAGAGATGACAACAACAGGCTACTGCTTCTCCACACTGTCCAGTCACAGATTAGGGTGGGGAGGAGATCTGTAACTGGAAGTGAACCTGCAACAATTAAGTCCTCTCCTCTATCAAACACAGTTGTGCTGTGTGGCAGAGCTATGCAATTCTCAGGACCAAACAGACAGATATAAGGAATATTTGGAGTAGTGGGATCTTCAATTCACTTATCCGTATCTAAAGGCATGCAAGCGACGCTGTATTTCATACAAATACCTACATGTGAGCTGATTTTATATAGGCATGATGGTGTGAGATGTCAAGCTGTGGTGCATTGTCACCGTACAACAACTGATTATATGAGAGAAGTGAAGAGGCCCAGGATCTACAGCATCTTTGTACCGGTAGAGACTATCCTACCATTAAGATGAATGGATTCAGATACAGATGTTGCCTGTTGTGCTTCTGTTTGAATAGTGGGCAGTCCCTGGCGGAGCTGGTTCAACTGTCTTCTCTGATGCGCAAGATTCTTGCGTTCCTAAGATATGTTTACAAGGAGGGGAAGATAATGAAAAACAAAATAAATGGCAGAACACAAATGCATAATTAAACACCAGGCATCAATCCTCCAAACAAAATGTCATTGTTTCTTAACCACTTGCCTACAGGGCACTTATACCCCCTTTGTGACCAGGCCAATTTTCAGCTTTCAGTGCTGTCGCACTTTGAATGACAATTGCGCGGTCATGCAACACTGTACCCATACTAAATTTTTATCATTTTTTTGGTGGTATTTACTCGCCACTGGGGGTTTTATTTTTTGCGCTATAAACAACAAAAGAGCAAAAATTATGAATAAAAAATGTTTTTCTTTGTTTCTATTATTAAATTTTGCAAACAGGTAATTTTTCTCCTTCACTGATGTGCGCTGATGAAGCTGCACTGATGGGCACTGATGAGGTGGCACGGATAGGAAGCACTGATGATGCGGTACTGCTGGGCACTGACTGGCGGCACTGATGGGTGGCACTGATGGGCACAGGTGGATGGCATTACTAGGCACTGATGGGCATAGGTGGGTGGAACTGCTAGGCACAGGTGGGAGGTACTGATCATCAGCGCACTGATAATCAGTGCCCTGATGATTGGTGCTGATCTGTCCTCTGACAATTGCCAGTTATCTGCAGTAATTTCCTCACACTGTGACAGCTTGATTAAAGTGCAGTTGATAACGAGTAACTGCATTTACCGGTGATCTGCTGTGTCATTGGACACGGCTGATCATGTGGTAAAAGGCTGCTGTGATTGGCCTTTTACCACATCATGTGATCAGCTGTGTCTGTAGGACACAGTGATCACGGAGATCGCCGGGGGGCGCGCCGGAGGGCGTCTTCTGGGAGGAAATCATATGACATCCTCCCAGAACTGGCCAGCCGTAGCGAAGCCGTCATTCGGCTATCTGCGGTCGGCAAGCGGTTAAGCCAATATTTTCATAATATAGATTTTATTCATAGGAGGCTCCCTCTTGCAAAAAAAAATTCTTACCTCCATCAGATGTTGTTCCTGCTGTCTTAACCTCTCCAATTGTTGCTGAATGGCCCTCAGACGCTCTTGGTGTCCTGATTCCACCTTCTTTGACTCAGCTAAGGCATTTTCCCCTTCTTCTTGACGCTGCAAGGCCAGCTTAAAAAAAAAAAAAAAAAAAAAAAGACAAGCAGTACATTTAACATATTCCTACCACAAGATGGCACAGCAGCACTAGTTTCTAAGCAAAACTGATAAAGTCGATGCCTAGCCTGAAAAATTTCCTATATCCAATTATTAATAAGCTGTGGAACTCTCACGCTATGTCTCTTGTGTTAGTTATTTATATTCTCTTAAAGTGAACAAAAAAAAAAAAAAAAAAAAAGCAAGCTCTAAACCTAACCACCTAAAACCTACTAAAGCCTCAAGGATCACATAAAGCAGTTGGTAAAAAAAGAACCCGTCACATGCAGAGACACTAGTGAGGACTTAACAGAGTTGTTCCGGGCCCTATGTTTTGCAGTAGATGACTTAAAGGACTCTAGCCTACAAATTTGTCGTTTTGCTCTGGTGTCTGTTCACATGCATAGGGTTCTGTGATTGAAGACCTGGTCTGCAGGACCGCCCTGTAAAAAAACAGTTAGCAGGTTTTCCCTTTCATGGGGAATGCCTGTTCGGTGTGGATGGTATATATCGAGACCTCTGGTGGAAAGCACTCCTTCTTGCTGCTCAAAAAAGAAAATAAAAAAAGGGGCAAGCATCTGGCCTATAGAGGTTTTGCTACTCTGGCTCCTTTTCATCTAGGCAGTCCTTTTGGAGCTCTCAGGCGACTGCGACTAGAGGGAAAGTGCAGAATCAAGGGCAAAGGAGGCGCTGGGCAATTAAGTTAGCTAAACCAGATTCCAATTTCCTCTTCATTATGAAGAGGCGCCCACACTCCTGCAGGTGTGGGGGGGGGGGGGGGCTGCTGGCTTTTTCAGGAGCTTGACGGGAAGTGGTTTCAAACAATTGGATTCTTGCCATAGTCTTCTATGGGTACAGGTTTGAGGTTCAGGTTTTTCCTCATCCACGGTTTATGAGATTGAATGTACCTGTAGATTTGCAAAAAAGAGCTTCGCTGTTTCTAGAGCTTGGTCTACTACTGGCACAGGGGGTAATCCAGTCAGTTCTGTTGACAAAAAAAGATTCCTTGGCATCTATTCCTACCTCTTCATGATCCCAAACCCGAATGGGGATGTGCAGCCTATTTTGGATCTGAAGAGACTAAACAAGCTTCTCAAAGTCCAGTCTTTTCACATGGAGTCAGTGCATTCAGTCTAGCAGGGGGTCTTATTTGCATCACTTTTTCCCACACATCAAAAATTCCAACGTTTTGCTGTAGAGGTCCAGCACTTCCAATTTGTGGCCCTTGTTAAGAGTTCAGGGAGTTTGCTTCTGGGGTATTTAGATAACCGGTTGCTCAGAGAGAAGTTTACACATTGGTTGAAGAAAACCATGTCTGTCATGATTCAAACGCTGGAGGGTCTAAGCTGGATTCTCAATCTGGAAAAATTAGAGTTGGATCCAGCGCAGGGCAGTTCATCTCATGCTGTGTTACTGGACGAGTCAGCTGTGGGGGCTTCCAGTCAGAGTTCACATGCATGATGGTATGCATGTTTTTAAGCACATGACTGGAAAGTGTATAATAGTATTGAATATACTGCACTATATGAGCCTTTTCTTTTTGGGGATACACTGGAGAGACTGTAAAGAGGTTTAGGGAAGACACGGAGATGTTGGAGTGAAAAAAAAAACTTTATTAGACCCATTGGTTGGTGTATGGGTCTAGAAATCTAGTAAGAATCTTTGAGATTGAATCCACTGGATATACTTACCGATTGATTGAACAAACAGCTACTTATATTTAATTAATTTGGCCTTAAAATACAGTTTTGCCAGATATTGGCATGCAGTTTTTACCAGAGACCAATTGCTTCCTACTCATGGACAGACATTTTTATGCAGGGGGTAACCTGTATGGTTCCACTGTTAAGTCTCTCCTGTGTCCATGGGCCTTAAGTTTGGTCTTGTCTGCTTTGCAAAAAACACATTTGGAACCAATCTGTGAAATTACATTAGTCCTGTTGGGTTTTTATACTTACCTGTAAAATCCATTTCTTGGAGAATATCATGGGAAACAGAGGTCCTTTTCTCTCTTTTGGGGGTTCATGGCTTAATACAAAACTGAGATAATTCCTGTATGGGGTGGACTTACTGTTTTGGCCAGTGTCCATTCACCTTTAATGGGTGCATAACCCAGGTAGTCATAATTTATGGCCTGCATTGTGTCCTGTGATGTACTCCAAAAAATGGATTTTACAGGTAAGTACAAAAATCCAAATATTTCTTTCTATGGTTTCTTGTCCTGATGATAACATTCTAAAATAAAATTGTATCTATAATTTGATGAGAGTATTCACAAACTTCAGTTCCCAAGGATGTGTTGCTATGGTTTTAGCACTGAAAAGCTATACAGCAGGTAAAATAAGTATTGAACACGTCACCATTTTTCTAGGTAAATATATTTCTAAAGGTGCTTCTGAAAGCAATGCCATCAGTATGTTTTGCAACAATAGCGTTGTGAAGGTCTTCAGAGAGCTCTTTGTGTTTGCCCATCATGAGATGTTTCTTGTTTGACACCTTGGTAATGAGACCCCTTTTTATAGGCCATCATTGGAGACTGAACCAGCTGATATTAATTTCCACTGACAAGAGGCAGCATTGCTTTCTAATTACTGATAGATTTCAGCTGGTGTCTTGGCTTTCCATGCCTCTTTGCACCTCCCTATCTTCATGTATTTAATACTTTTTCCCGTGTTATGCCATTTTATTACATATAACTTAATTTCTGAACTTGTTTTGGTTTCTTTGTATGTATTGATTGCATGGGTTATTACTGACATGTGGTGACAATTTCATGTCAATAGCACCTTTAGAAATATATTTACCTAGAACAATGGGGACATGTTCAATACTTATTTTGCCCGCTGTATGTACCTTGCTCATGCTTTCTACTTCCTCCGCTCGCTGGCGCACACGCATAGCGGTAGCATACACCCGATCCTTCTCAAGTCGCAGCTCATGCCTCTCTTTCTCTAGCGCCTCCCTGGCTGCAGCCAGCTGCTCTTCTTTGTTACGCAGTTCGGTGGCCTGTACCTTCAGATCTGCCTGTTCCTGAAGGAGGAGAAAAGTACACCAATACATACTGTACATTTTATATTTTAACAAAGAAGTTTAGTAAACACTTAAACAATTAGCTATTTCAGGCTATGTTAAAGTAAAAAAAAAATGGCAGCAGTCACAGCTCTAGCTTAAACAGAACATAGGCAAGAATTGAAAGATAAAAAAAAGCTGCACACTCAGTAGGTAATTACATCAGCTGTGACCCAAAAAAGACAAAAATTAGGTGCCGCTCAGGTAGAGAGGTGAAGTCCAAACTAGACCGCTGTCAGTGCTGGCAGGGATAGGGTGCTTGTCCTAGCTCCATGCTGCAGCAATGTCAGAAGGAAAGATCCATAAGCTGTGCATCAAAGGCAGACCCATGTGCATGAGGCAAGATGATGGCAGGTGGTGTGGCCCGGCTGGAGTCTGGGCTGAGGCTGCCATTCATCGTACCTCATGCACATGGGTCTGCCTTTGATGTGAGGCTTATTGATCCTTCCTTCTAATTAAATCAACTGTTGAAAGTGCTTAAAACTGAGCATGTTACATTGGTTGTAAACCCTTCCATATACCCAGTGAAGTGACTGGCCTCAGGTGATACACAGAGATGAAACAAATCATCCTATATAATTACCTGTTTATTTACAGTCTTCTTTTCTCTACATCTGTTCAAAGTGCTGAATTTATAAAGCTTGAAAGAGTTCCGAAAAAAAAAGGGGGCGGAGGGCTGAAGTTCCACTCTGCAGAGCGCTCAGTGAGGAGAGTTCTGACAGCTGATTGGAGGAATAGGACACACCCCCTCCCACTTGATAAAGCGCATGCGCGTGAAACGTGTTGTCCCGGGAACCGGCCTCTTCCTTCTAAAGCTGCGGCTCCAGTGAGAGTCCCACCCCCTCCGTCTCTCCACATCGTGGTGACGTCATCCGGGACACTGGGACGTCGGATACACGTGGTTCCTGCACTGACAGGCATTCTACTCTCCACTGCTTCCCTCTGAGTGGACGGGCCGTCCATCTTGGAACCTGGCTTCTTAAAGCCACAGGCTGGTTATCTATTTTTTACCATATGAATTATTAAAGGCACACCTCCATATAAGGTGTATTACTTTTATAACAAAAAACTACACAGCGCCTGGCTCCTGTTCATACACCCCGTCTCACAGGAACAGAGCTGAGGCTGTCAATCTACTGGAGGTCCCTCCCCTGCCACCATTTTTCTCTTGGTGTCAGGAAACCTTGTCAGCAGTTATTCATGGTGATAGCAGAGGAACAAAGTAGCAGACAGAAATGACACCTAGTGCTCTGGATTGAGACACACACTATAGAGGTATATGCTTTGTTCATACTGCATGTCTGCGGTTTACAACTACTTTAATGCTCAATGTATCTGTGTACAGACAGGCACACATGAATTGATCTGAAGACATACACAGGTACTTGCACATACTACTTTTTACATACTTGTAAGAAGTGACATATAGCTACAGTGATTTACGTGTAGCTTTAAATATTATAAGCCATGGATTTACTGAAAAACTCTGCTCTGTGAAATGACTACATCACAGACTCTGAACAGTCACATACGCTTCAGTATAACAGATGTGCCATAGAATCGCAAAATGGGAAAAACCAAAAGTGTTGTGACATCTACTGTAACTTGCTTATGGACGAGAGATGATAACCAACTGCACCAACTGCCTTTCTTAAAAATAAAAAAAAATCAAGTATGTTTTTCCTAATACACATTAAATATATATTTCATTATTAAAAATAATAAAAGACATCTATAAAGGTAACAAGCTAGAGTCCTCAGATATGGTTCTACCAATACTATATACCTTAGTGAGGCTGATAAGAGCTCCCTCTCTCTGAGATTCGGCCATTTTCGCTTTGGTGATCTCATTCTCTGCCCGCTCTTTCCTCAGTTTCTGTTGGGTGTGAAGCTCAGCCCACTCGGCAGCAAGCTTTCTGCGTTCTTCTGCACAACGTGTCATAACGGACTGTTGTTCCTCCAGTAGAGCGCTCTGTACATAGGTTAATAGGTAAACTGTGATTTGATGCTGAAAACCCATAATACACAAATGTGCCAACAATAAAGATACACGGAAAAAGTCAGCATCATAAAACTTTTTTTATGCAACACTCACACTCATCAAAATCTCAATAGGCCATTGTTTATGGGGTGCCCCCTTTTATTGCAGTCTGTTTCAAGAAAGAAAAGAAACACAAGCTCCCCTGGTGCTTCAGCAAGTGATCCTGTTTTGCTTGGAGGTATTAAAGTGTTACTAAACCCAGATCCCTGCATTCACTATATCTGATTGTCCCACAGTACACAGAACATGGAAATGCAATTATTTTAGTAAATATAAACTGCTTAATACCCTTTCTCATCAATAATATATAGGACTCTGGTGACTTCTATCAGTGTCCAGCTGAGCACTGGTTAAATCTGTAGGAGGAGTTTTTTCATTCTCCTCTGACTATCTTATGGGGCTGCATGACCCTGTCCCTCTGTCCGGACAGCGCTGATTGGCCCTGTGCTGATCACATGAAAAAAAAAAAAAAAACGCTCTAGCAATACATACCAAACAGAGCATGTGCAGACTTGCCACTGCTGCTCTGTACTATGGTAGATGGATTGGGGACAGCAGAAGAAGGGGAGGATCAAAGAAGACAGGATCAAACATCCTCTTTACACAATGTGGAGGACCAACATCTGACCTCTGTCTGAACAGTGCTGATTGGCCCTGTGCTGATCACATGCAGAGGTCAGATGTGGATCCTCCACATTGTGTAACGAGGATGTTTGATCCTATCTTCTTTGATCCTCCCCTTCTTCTGCTGTCCCCAATCTATATAGCATATTACAGAGCAGCAGTGGCAAGTCTGCATATACTCTGTTTGGTGTGTATTGCTAGAGCATTTTTTTTTTTTGCATGTGATCAGAACAGGGCCAATCAGCACTGTTCAGACACTCTCCCAAGAAAAAAAAAAACCTCTCTAGCAATACACACTAAACTGAGCATATGCATGTGGCTACAGGTTCAGTCTTTTGTCTTATCAGGTGAACATTTGAAGAAGAGGGGCAGAGAAGACAGGATCAAACAGCCTTTTTACACAATGTAGAAGATTAACCCCTTAGGTACCACAGTGAGTATAACAAGCATGCTTTGCTGCATATACAGACTGATTTTACTGTTGTGGTTTAGTAACACTTTAATGGGATGATCTAGTGAAAGTTGTGAGGATATTAGGTACTAGAAAGCACATCTACTGTGCCCTTGTCAATGGAAGTAGCAAAAGGTGTTAACGGAGTGGGACCTGGAAGATGAAGGTGATCGCTGTAGTAGCAGAGACTACTACAAACATTTTCAGCTGCCACAGGGATCCCACAAGTATGGAAAAAGAATACTTACTTTGGTCTAAGCTGGACCAAATGCAACTATACTATAAAATTCATACCTGGAATTCAGGTTTAATAAAGAAGAATTCTGTTTTTACTAGCAAAGTACAAAACACAGCCATATCATGTGACAGTTTTTACAGCAACACTGAAATGATTATAAATTATACTCCTTTACGCAGGCACATTCCACATTTATAGGTACTCTCTGCCACCATGTAAAGTCAATGACTCAAAAGTCTGCCACACATTCATATCTGTGTTATGGCTACACTGGTGTGTGTGTCTTCAAGCCAATATATAAAGGATAAATCATGTATACATTGTTGGCAGAGCATATGTAAACAGACTGCTGACACATGGTAGAAGACATAAAACACCTTCATTATAACCAGAGGAATGCAGTCTATAAGTGCATAACAAAAACAGAGCAGAGTATGGTTTATTGATCTATGGAGCACACGGCAGAACATGTTAATGGAAACAGCTCATTAAACTGTGCTATGGAGTGACTTCTACTGGGATTTATTGGGAAGGCAGAGGGATAAGCGATCTACTTAACCTTGGCAGTAAAACTGGAGTGCACTGTCACATAAAGAATACTGCTGAAAACATTTTGGAATGCGTTGGTATATATAACATGACTCCAATACTGTCCTCAATTCACAGACTTAAATTTATTATGCCATATATATTTTGTCAGTGAAGGCCCAGTTCATTTTTGCTTCACCTATTATTTAAGTTCTTGGATTGCATCCTGTTCGCCATGTACTGGAAATGATGCTGAAGAAGCTATGTTAGGATGCTTCACCCTATGCGTTTTGTCGATTGGGCGTCATCAGGGATGTACTAATGACATCCAACTGACGAAACGCATTAGGTAGGAGCATTTTACACCAGTTCCACTGGATCATTTCCGGTACACGAAACCCAGGATGTGTTCCAAGAATGGCTAGAGAACATCCTCATATTTGTAATGCTTTGTTTCTTTACCCATTGATGTATTTGCATTAATATTTTTTTTATGAAATTTTAAATAAAGCAGTATTACACAATCTTACTGGCAACTCCCGTTTCTTTCCAAAACTTTGTGGTCACTACCCACTGGAGAGGTGAAGGAGTGGTATACTAACCCCCTCAGAGGGCCATATTCAAGGTTGGAGATAAACTATTGACGGAACCATAGGATGGGAGTTTGTGCGCGTAGAAGGTGCCACTTATTGATTTAAGGGATCATACATATCCAGTGAGGGAGTTTGATACCGGAGGTGAAGGAGCACGAGTGTGATCACAAAGTACAAGAAGATTCTGCACTTTGCACAATTTTTGGACCCATTATTTGGGACTTTATTGTTTCCATTTTGCATACATATTTTGCCACATATTGAGTTTATACACATATATATTTTTATGTTTCTGGAATATGGAAGAGGGAGAGGTCTTACATTAGTCTTGTAGTAAGGTCACACCTTTATTTAGGTTCCAAGTGAACATACATTTGGCTGGTTTTGTTAGCACAGTGGACACTATTGAGCAATAATATGAATGGGAGGTGTATTGTAGTGTTTGATTGAAGAGGGAGGTGTATTATAGTACCTGATTATATAAATTGTGTTTTTTGCTTTATTTAGTACTGCCCTCTATTTACATTTATGCATCTTGGATTTTCACAGATTTTTGAATTTGGAACAGATTGCTTTGGCTTACATTTGAAAAAAAAAAAATGTGTTACCAGGACTATATAAAAATCAACATAAAACTTTAATAACACATTTTGTTACAAGAGTTCTGGATAGAATGGGCATAAGTTGGAACCCCGATCATATTTTTGTTTATATCCCCATTGGGAAGATTCTCCTATATGTTCACAGGGCAGAATTAAGCAGAATCTTTAATGGGGACACAAAGAACAAAAAAGCATTTTAGTTTAGTGAGCAAAGAAAGGTTAGAATTTGAACCTTTGTCAGGTTTCTACTGTTGACTCTATCACTAAGATTGGAATTCAGTAGACAGCAATAGGAGCTTCTAATCCATCTCTATTTTACCCAGGATTCAAAATAAAAAAAAGATGCGTAGTTGGACTTTACCGAAGATCAAGCACAGAAATGTTGTTATCAATAGAGTTCCTGAGAGATTTACAATAATTCAAATGCAGAAACATCAGACTGACCCTTAAAAGATTTAATGTGTTAAAAGCCTGTCACCAAATTCCAGGTAAAAGCACATAAACAGGTATTTCAAAAACTTACCTGAAGTGTTCTTCTTTTCCATACCATTGTTTTTTTAATCATTGCAATGTGTTCATAAATCTGCTAGCAAATTTGACTATTCCAGGAGGAGTCAATTGCTTATTACTTTCTGTACTGGCCGAGTCTCCCCTCCAAACCCCCCCCCCCCCCCCCCCCCCCATTACCGCTGTACATAACCTTTCTGTAGTTCTGGGGAGAGGAGCAAAGAGGAATACTACAGAGCAGGGGTGTCAAACCGATGGCCCTCTAGCTGTTGTGAGATTACAAGTCCCATCATGCCTTTGCCTGTGGGAGTCATGCTTGTAACTCAGCCTTGCAATGCCTCATGGGAACTGTAGTTCCGCAACAGCTGGAGGGCTGCCAGTTTGACACCTGTGCTATAGAGTTTCACTTGATTGGCAAATCTAAAGGCTGCTGACATCATATCCAAGATGGCTGCACTGATGCCTCCTGGGAAGGAAACATCATCAATGCCTTTAGGAAGATCTTGCAAAATGTCACAGTGTTGTCATACTGCACATGAGCAAAAGGAAGTGCATGACGCCATGCGCTTCATGTCACGCATGTGGTGTGAGACAACACAATCATTTGTTGTTTTTTTCATTTTTTTTAAACAGACAAATGTAATGTTGTATGGCCCAATGCTCAATTTTCCACACAGGCCATACAACTATATTACGAGCTAACCTTGGACACACATTTTCAAAATGGTGGTGTGGGAGCAGGGGCACAGGGAACAGAGAGGCAGCCTATCAACTAGACGGTCTGGCAACAGGGTTTTTAACTGTAAGTTGACTGCTATTTATACAGATGATAAAACAGTTTCTGAATCCAGGTGACAAAATAGTTTCTGACCTTTGCCCTCTCTAGCTCTTCTCTCTCCTGGGATATCTGTTGGGTCATTATTCTCTTTTGTTCCTCTAGAGAGCGCTGTAGCGAGTCTATTTTGGCATGTTCTGCAGACACCCTCCAACGTTCCTGTGGAAATAAAATGTTGGTAAGCCAACATATATAGCACAAGCAAGGCAGAGAACAGTGACCAGACACCAAAATGCCATTTCTACCTGTTCCAGCTGGCGGCTCTGCTCACTCAGTCTAGTCTCCATGTTGGTGATGATCATACGCAAGCTGTTCCGTTCCTCTTCCATATCTTTCTGCTGCCGTGTCAAACGCTCCTGTAACGCTGAATCAGAAAACAGGGACATTTGAATCTGATGAAAATATCAGAATTACTTCAAAGGAATTTTGATTTTACATCTGTAGATCAGTGTTTCTCAAGCTTTTTTCCAGTCAAGGCAACCTTTAAAATTATGGACAGTCCTGAGGCACCCTTTAAAATGATGGACAGTCTTGAGCCTCAAGACTGTCCATAATTTTAAAAGCGCGCCCCAATTCTAAAATGTGAAAAACTATTCTAATAGTTTTATAGAACACATCCACATATGTAGGACACCCAACATTAGAGGTGATTTACTCTTCCAAAGCCAATACACTTTTGCACACTGGTACTGACTAGTATTGAAATGTTTTTCTTCTCCCTCACTGAGCTAATTTGACCCCAGCAACTGATGGAGAGGGGCAGGGGAGGGTCAAACTAGGATGGTGTGCAGGCAGCTAACATCCTCCTTATCAATGGATGATGTCATTGGTTGTCAGGACACCGGCGGCTAGAAGGTCGTAATAGTGCTAATGAAAACCTGTGGCTTTGTGTAACTAGAAGGCAGGCTTGTTCCACCCGCTGGCTTGTATACAAGTTTTGGGTAATTTTAGACATTTTGCCAAGGCACCCCTGAAGAAACCTCAAGGCACCCCTGAAGAAACCTCAAGGCACCCCTGAAGAAACCTCAAGGCACCCTGGTTGAGAAAGGCTGCTCTAGATAACAGTGTATTGTGAATATTGGCCATAGTATGCACGATTGGTATTATACCTCGAAGCTGTCCCTCCCTCTGTCTTGCTCCAAGTTCTATCTCCTGGGAAGTGTTCATCTGGGTGTTCTCCACTCGCACAGACAGATCACTCAGCTTATAAGAAAAAGCCTCCATCTGTTCAATGACTCCATTTAATGACCTGAAAAAAAGACCACACAATAGTGACCATCATGAAAGTACAACATGGAAGAATAATGGAAATAGTCATATGAAAAACATAAAAACAAAGGTAAGACGGCTCTCTGCAGAGGTCTGGTATGGATTTGTGGAGATTATTGCTCCCAAGATTTGCAAGATCGAATAAAGGCAAGGGTTTGGATTCTTAAAAAGAACACTGGAAAAAAAAATATCAGTTACATAGTTAGTCTGGCTGAAAAAAAAGACAAAAAGTCCATCCAGTTCAACCATTAAAAAAAAAAAAAAAAAAAAAGTTCTAATCCTATACCCACAGTTGATCCAGAGGAAGGCAAAAAAAAACCAGCAAAGCATGATCCAATTTGCTCCTACAGGGAACAAATTCCTTCCTGATCCCCCGAGAGGCAATCGGATATTCCCTGGATCAACTTTACCTATAAATGTTAGTATCCAATCTCCTTGGTTAAAAAAGAAAGTTGACCATACAGGATCTGGTCATTCCCATCCACATAAACTAAGGGGGTTCCCATTTTAACCAAAAGACTATAAAGCATGTCCTGTTCAAAGGATCTTTACAAGAAGGGCCCCCAGATGAGGATGTTAAATTCTTCAGATGAGGATGTTAAATTCTTCAGAAAGCAGGATTGCTATAATTGGGCAATGGTCTTTTGAGAAGTCCCCGAGTGGTGTCACAAGGCTGCAGGGTAATTTCAGAAACGACTGTTCTCATATAAAATCTCCTGCCTGGAGTTTGCATGTTCTCCCTGTGCCTGCGTGGATTTCCTCCAAGTCTCTGGTTTCCTCCCACACTCCAAGGACATGCTGGTAGGTTAATTGGATCCTGTCTAAATTGGCCCTAATATGTGTATGAATGTAAGTTAGGGACCTTAGATTGTACACCCCTTGAGGGTTAGGGACTGATGTGAATGTACAATATATATGTAAAGCGCTGCGTAAATTAACAGCACTATATAAGTACCTGAAATAAATATCTGGAACTACTAAGTACTACTACCCTGCAATGAGCTGACAATGGCCAAAGAAACTTAATTTCAAACAATCAGAAGGGAAGGAGAAAAAACCTGATCATGTAAAACTGAAAGGCACTTTCTTCAAAGAGGCAGAAATAAACAATGTATGGCCAATAATATATGGTTTATTAACATTTACTTTTTTTCAACCATGTATATGCAAATGTTAGAATTAAGGCCAAGCTTTTGGCAGAGAATAGCCCTATTGTTCTCATACTTCTCTCATGACTGATGCCCTTCAAAGTAATGTAAAGCTGCTGCAAACCTGGATAAATGATTTCCAGCAGAAACATCAAACAATAAAAAGCTGAAGTAATATGCAAATCTCAACTATTCTTGTAAGGGTCCCTGCACACTGGCCTTAATAAAAACAAACAAAAAAAAAAAATGCTTCTACAGGAGTTTTGCCTTTTTTTATCCTGCCTGTAGAAGCAGCTCAATGTTATCCAATGTGTCCATGCACATTAGAGCATTTAGAGGCATTTTTCAAGAGAATAGTTTAAGAGCCATAAAAAAACCCAACACAAGTGCATTTTTGAGAGGAGTTTTCAAGCAGAAAAAAACACTAAATTCACATAAATGCAGCATTAGGACACATTCAGGGTTTTCAAATGTTTTGGAAAAAACACCTATAAAAGCAAATGCCCATAAACTCTTCTAAACGTTTGTGCAATAGGAGCTACTATGAGCATTTTTTATGCTGTTTTTTTTCTGCCAGAGGTTCTTGCATTTTTTTTCTGCTCCTAGTATGCATAGACCCTAAAAGTCAAGCGTGGTTTTACTCGGAGCCTCCTTATTGGTTAATGAGGCATCTAGCAATATAAATGACCAACAGTGAGGCAGGGGCAGAACCAAGCTTGACATTTACTAGGGAAGTCAAGATCAACCATTTGCAGACTGCCCACAGTACTTTAATTGCAGGCGGGCAACACAGGCAAGCCGGATCATGTACATGTGCTTCATCCAGCCTGCTCCAGTTTAGGGGCATGCAGACTGAGGATCCTGGTACTCAGAGTCCGGTGATTATGTGATTGCTATGAGATCACAGTGTCAATAAAGCTGTTATGAATGCATTAATTTATAACAGCTGTTTCCTATGCTGTGATTGGTCCACAGCTATCACATGGTACCTAGGCCAATCCCAGCATCTTGTACCATGTGATTAGCTGTAGTCGATCACAAATCACTAGTGATCACAGCTGTCATGAATGTAACCCATTCTTGGCAGTTGAAAACTTTGCTGTTACAATGATCTTCATTGTAACAGCAAAAAAAGAAAATATCCCTTACCACCACTCAGAGTAGTACAGTGATACTATGGTGACACTGAGCTACTCTGATAAAAGAGTATGCAAAAAAAAAGTTAAAAAATGAAAAAAAAAAAGTTGAATATATGGTGTCTGTATGACATACTGTCACCAGGCAGTATCTCTGATTACTGACACATAAGTCACATGATGATGTTGTACTGCACTTGTGACAGTATGTAAAAAGAAAAAAAAATTGTGAAAAAAACCTAAATCTTATTACAATTTCTTCACTTTCAAAAAATTGTGACAAAAAAATTCTAACTTTATAAAAAAAACAAAAAAAAAACTCACCATGTCTCTTACTAAATGCCTCAGACGGTCTACTTTCCAAAAAGGGGTAATTTGGGGGGCATCAAGGAGAAAAAAAAAAAAACCTCTCTAGCAATACACACCAAGCTGAGCATGTGCATGTGACCATGGGTTTAGTCTGTCTTATCAGGTGGTCATTTTAACAAAAGGAGGGGCAGAGAAGACAGGATCAAACAGCCTTTTTACACAATGCAGAGGATTAACCCCTTAGGTTCCACAGTGAGTATAACAAGCATGCTTTACTGCATATACAGGCTCATTTTATGGTTGTGGGTTTAGTAACACTTTAATAGTGAGGCCTTGTTATACAGCCCTACCAGTCATTTCACAGAAGAAACCTGAAAACACTGGCTACATCCCTTATCTGAAAAACACAACTACCACTAAGTGTAGACGCATTCGTGCACAAGAATGGTCAAGCTGTAGCACTAATTAACCTCGTCTGTGATGAAGCGCTGGTCACGGCATCAACAATTTCCTGATCTTTCAGTCTCTTTAGTCGCTGCAGCTGCTCCTCATGGTCTCGGCACATTTCCTGGACAGACAACCTGCAGGAAGGTGGATACATGACATAATGCCAATAATTATCACACCAGCTAGGAAAAAGATAATCCCAAGCCTGGGCACCGACCTCTGCAGCTCCCTAATGCGTTCTATCTCCTTGTCCTTTTCCTGCTGGAACTCTGTCAGCTTACGCTGATATTGGGCTAACAGTTCAGCTTTCTCACTTTCTGCACTCTGGCAGCGGGCAAGGTATTGTGAGGAAAGCTCCTGGTTCTCTTTCTGGATGCGTTCCTCTCTTTGGCGGGCAGAATCCTCCACCAGCTTCAAGCGATTTCTGTGAATGTAGGGTGCAAAAAAGCAAAAATGTAAGAAAATCAACTGCACATGGAAATATTAATCACATCACATGCCTGATGAAGGGATCCTGCAAGACTCAGAAACGTTGCCTTGCTGTTAACTATGTGAAATGGCGTCCTCCCGCACATGCGCACTTTTCGCGCTTGCAGAGCCGCGCAGCGGCTCGATCTGTCACTGGCCGTGTACCTCGGACACGGCCGATGACAGATCTGAGTATCGGCCCCGTTGCCGGTACCATGTGACCTGCTGTGACCAATCACAGCAGGTCACATGACAGTTGTATACAATGGATGGCTTCATTCATACCATCCATTGTATACTACTGTCTAGCTGTGAATGATCACAGCTAATCACATGCACATGTCATGTGATTAGCTGTGGCCAAATCACAGCTAAGCACAAAAAAAAAAAAAACCCTGAATGAATCGATGTCATTCAGGTAAATGCTTGCTTATAGCAAAGTAATTCTTTGCTATAAGCAAATTGTGTAAAAAAAAAAAAAAAAAAAAAATACTGATCACTTCCCCAAAGTAGTACAATGTGAAAAAAAGTAAATTTGAAAAAAAATCTTAAAAAAAAGAAAAAAGTAATAAAAAATTAAAAATAATGAAAAAAAATATATATTTTTTTTTCATACTGTCACCAGTCAGCATCCCTGATCACCGCCATGCCAGTTATATGATGACGCTGTACTGCACTGGTGACAATATGTAATAAAAAAATAGTGAAACTAATTTTTTTAATTTTTTCATTTTCTGAAAAATTATGACAAAAAAGTACAACTTCAAAAAACTTGCATGCCTCTTATGAAGTACGTCGGACTGTCTACTCTGCAAAAAGAGGTCATTTGGGGGATATCTGTACTGTTCTGACATTCTTGGACCTCAAGAAATTAGATTGGCTGTCAGTACTTCAGGATTGATCAATATTCAGATCTATACCATAGTTTGTGAACTCTATAACTTTCCTACAAACTAAAAAATACATCCTAATTTGGGTTATTTTAACCAAAGACATGTAGCAGAATACATCTTGGCCTAAATTTATGAAGAACAATTATTTATTTGCAAACTTTTATAACAGAAACAAAGAAAAACGTGTTTTTCTTCAAAATGTTCGGTCTTTTTTTTGATAATTTAGCAAAAAATAAAATCCGCGGCGGTGATTAAATACCACCAAAAGAAAGCTCTAGTTGTGTGAAGAAAATGATAAAATTTTAGTTTGGGTACAGTGTTGTATGACCGCGCAATTGTCCTTCAAAGTGTGAGAGCGCTGAAACCTGGAAAATGGCCTGGGCAGGAAGGTGTAAAATTGCCCATTATTGAATTGGTTAAAGTAAGTGCGGATTCTCTTGCATCAAACTCTTGTGCTTTACAACAATGCTTTTTTTCAGCAGTAGTGTGGATGTGGTAAGGCCATACAGCTGCTTTATAAATGGATTTATGGAGTCCCTCTCAGGACAAAGGGTGGGCTAGAACAGTGTTTGTAAACCTTCTTTTAGTGAAGTCACCCTTTAAATTTATGGACAGTCTTGAGGCACCCCATTTCCTCCTGTCAGGCAGGATTGTGCCTGTGGCAGAGCTGCGCAAATTTCAGAACTGGATGGAGAGAAATTATCTTCTGGCAGGTAAAACATGTTCTGTCTCCCTTTGTAATGTACAGCGCTGAGCGAACTATTGGCGCTTTATAAATACTGTATAATAATAATAAAAATAATAATAATAAAACAGCTCAGGTTGGAGGCTGTTGCTTACTACTGCACTACTACTGCATGCATGGTTTACTGGATAAAGCCATTTGTTTCTTGTGCCGTACCTTTGTGCGTTTTCTATGAGCTCCAGATCTTCTTTGTGTCTTTGTTGTAGTGTTTCCATTAGCATGTTTTGCTGTTCCTTCTCAAGCTGAAACTTTCTGATCTGTGATAAATATAAAAAAACAAAACAAAACACATATTAGCCTTCTTCCTTCTAGATATACAAAAAATGTGAATTTGAATACACCTTGAATACTACCTTTGCCTCCAAGTCCAATATTCTGCCCTCTAACCGTAGCATCTCCTTGTCATTTTCTGGTGCCTTGAACACAACAGGACCAAGCTGCAAAACACAGAGAAAAGAGTCATTAGTCTGAGCATTATTGCTGGGTTCTTTAGTAAAATAAAGGCCATCTGCCCCTATAAAGAATCCTTTGCCTCTAATTTGGAAATGTTAACATTTTAACGGGGAGTTCAGGTTGTTACTTTATAACACAGTGCTAACAGGTTTTCATACAACATCAAGCAGTGCTGATGCTTAGACTGCTGAAGTTCAATAACAGCTTTTAAAGAGATTGCCAAGCACACTCCCCAGAAAATCAATATAAACCTAATAAAATGGTTTCCACATTTTAGGTTAAAAACTGAGGTTTTATTGTAGCAGGCAACTACAAATACATATGAACTTATAATGCCAAGTCCAGGCACCTGTGCAAAGTGTGATCCTTAAATATAAAAGTTAATTAAACTCCCAACTTGGGACATATATATCTATCAAGGAATACACTGAGAGTAGGTTTACCTGGAGACAGCCCCTTCCCCCTTAAAGTTGAACTCCAGGCAAAAGGCTAAATACACAGATGCCATGTACCTGATTGGCTACCAGCCCTGCCCCTCCCCCCTCCAACCCTGAGTGCTGTTGTAAAAGAGATTGCAAGGAGATGATACCAAGTGAATTCAGGTACTTATATTTGTTGTATTAAAAATATTTAAATGTAACGCATTAATAATAAATACTGCCTCCCAGCTCCCAGGTTTAGTATACTGTCTAAGCAGTTGTTACGGCTCCCAAATGCATCTTGGCCAGTGTTTCCAAGTTGTCATAGCAGCGATGTTCCCTCTGACAGCTTAGAGCTGGGAGGGGGCCATGCATTGTTTATGTTACTTTGTAGCATTCCCATCCCTTTGATGAAGTCATTGCCGGTGTAACGCGTGGGGCGGAGCTACACAAGACATCTAGTTTGCACAGAGGTTGTCAAAGTCAGGTATCAGGCTCGGAGGCCAGTAGCTATAGTGGCAGAAAAGCTCCCACCAACCAGCAGGATGGTATACAAGCAGGTCACCCTGGCAGATGATGTGGGATCACCTGAGGTGCGGGGTCTAAGCACTAACCAGTATTCACCAGAGCTCCTGATGGTGGAGATAGGTTTTGCTGTGTGTTAATACCAGGTTGCATTCCTCAGGATCACCATACCAGTAGCAGATATCGCAGGTAGGGATCAAACAGAAGCGTAGTCAGTAAACAAGCCGAAGGTCGGTAACAAGTGGTTGCAGGTTGGGATCGGGCAGAAGCATAGTCAGTAAACCAGCTGAAGGTCGGTAACAAGTAGCTGCAGGTTGGGATCAGGCAGAAGCATAGTCAGTAAACAAGCTGAAGGTCAGTAACAAGTGGTTGCAAGTTGGGATCAAACAGAAGCGTAGTCAGTAAACAAGCCAAAGGTCGCTAACAAGTGGTTGCAAGTTGGGATCAAACAGAAGCGTAGTCAGTAAACAAGCTGAAGGTCAGTAACAAGTGGTTGCAGGTTAGGATCGGGCAGAAGCCTAGTCAGTAAACAAGCTGAAGGTCAGTAACAAGTGGTTGCAGGTTAGGATCGGGCAGAAGCCTAGTCAGTAAACAAGCTGAAGGTCGGTAACAGGTGGTTGCAGGTTGGGAATCAGGCAGAAGCATAGTTGAGGAACAAGCCAAAGGTCAGTAACAAGTGGTAGCAAAAGTACGGATGGCAGCAGGAGAGACAAGAGCAAGATAATGGCGGGAGAAGGCACAATAATCTGGATAACAGGAAGTGCAGAGAAATGGCTTAAATCAGGAAGTTCGTGGAAGGAGCAAAGAGTTCAAGGTTCAGCAGACAACAAGGCACAAGGTAGGATTGTTCAATGGATCAGGGCAGAGTGCTGTACTTCATCTCAGGTTGCTCAGTGAGAAGAGCTACTACCAGACACAGCAGAGGTCCCAGGTCCAAGTCCAGGCCCGAAGTCTAGCTTGGAATTGCAGCCTGATCCTACATCTCGCTGGAGCTGTCAGTGGGATCTTGTAGCAGGTGGTGAGCAGCAGATGAAATCTGGCTTGTGGATGAGAGATAGTAGCTTCTTGTTAAATGTGCTATATGTGAACGATTTTTTAACTGTAAACAAAGGGACCATTTATTTTATACAGGGAACACCATTTTTTATTTTCTGTGTCCCATCATAAGGTAGGATCAACTGCATTGGAAATTCAATGTCCATATAGCTTCTCAGCTGGTGGAGACTCACACTCTTTTGGGAGATATAATCCATATTGGGAAGAAGTATTGCACCATTTATCACATACGGATTTGTGTTATTCATGGTTTTGCAAAAGTAATTTACATTTGTTACACAAAGTTGGATAAGATTGTGTTACTGCACAGTATTAGACTATTACATATATGATCACATGTATAGTTTGGTTATTTGATAATATCTTAGAAGGTTTGAAAGTTATTTTTAATCTTTGAATGCGGCAGCTATTTATATTTCTTTTTTTTTCCATTGTAGGTGAGCAAGAGGAGGTGTCATTATAAAATCAGTACAGGAAACACACATCACTGCTTGAAGGTAGCAAGGTACCATGGGATATGTAGTCCTTAGGAATTGAATGTAAACAGACAGCAGAGGAGAAGCTGCAGGAAATTCAGAAGTTGTGGAAAGAGATGGCCAGCAGACAGGCAGAAATCACAACAAGGAGATATTTAACTATGCTTAAATTCGATTGTCAAATATAAACTATTGTTTGTATTGCTATTACAATGCTGATGATATAAAATGAAAGTTTATGCTGCGACTATAGATTTTAGATCTCCTTTAATTCGTGCCATTTATATTTGCCTGGAGTTCAGATTTAAAATGTAAAGCAATGCACCAGAAGCCCAGACTCATTAAAAGGCAGCTAAAGACATCCAGTCTCAGCTTTTTTTTTTTTTTTTTTAAAGACATGGGCAGTGATACCAATGTATGTCAACATCCCAAACCTGGCACTAAAATGGTGCTGTAAAAAGCTTCAAGAAAGCTGCTTGCAGCTGGCTGAAAGCTTTGTAAAATGCTTCCTGTTCACATCTCACACAAATGTCAGCTTGTAAATGAAGAGAGAGAACAGGAATTTTGGGTGAGTGTTGTTAACAAAGAACCTTCAAACTCAGCAAAGATGAAGAACAATGTATACAAACCTGAATTTGCTCTCTATGAGAATCTGAAGGTCCAGCTAAAGGAACTATGAAAAAAAAAAAAAAGGATGAGCAGATTATTATATATATATTAAAAATGAGATAAAATATATTAAAAAAAATATTACAAAAAACAGGACTATTGCTAGTAGCAGCATTTGCTTAAATAAGGCTTATTTGTAATAGTATAGATGTGAAAAAGTCCAAGTAAGATTAAAAACGTAACCACTTCAATACCGGGCACTTTTACCCCCTTCCTGCCCAGGCTCTCACACTTTGAATGACAATTGCGCGGTCATGCAACACTGTTCCCGAACTAAAATTTTATCATTTTGTTCACACAACTAGAGCTTTCTTTTGACAGTATTTAATCACCACCGTTGTTTTTTCTTTTTGCTAAATTAACAAAAAATTATCTAAAATTTAGAAAAATTTTGTTTCTCTTATAAAAGTTTTCAAATAAATAATTGTTCTTCATAAATTTAGGCCAAGATGTATTCTGCTACATTTCTTTGGTGAAAATAACCCAAATCAGTATTTATTATTTAGTGTGTAGGAAAGTTATAGAGTTCACAAACTATGGGATATATCTGAAAATTGACCAATCCTGAAGTACTGACAGCCAATCTAATTTCTTGAGGCCCAAAAATGTCAGAACAGTACAGATATCCCCCAAATGACCCCTTTTTGCAAAGTAGACAGTCCGATGTATTTCATAAGAGACATGGCGAGTTTTTTGAAGTTGTAATTTTTTGGACATAAATTTTCAGAAAATGAAGAAATTAAAAAAATTATTTTCACAATTTTTTTTTTCCACATACTGTCACCAGTGCAGTACAGTGTCAGCATATAACTGGTGTGGCGGTGATCAGGGACAGTGACTGCTGACAGTATGAAGAAAAAAATAAATACATTTTTTAAAATTTTATTATTTTTGTTATTTTTTATTACATACTTTCTCTTTTTTTTAAAAGATTTTTTCATATTGCACTATGACCAAAGTAGTATAATGTTACCATAGTAAAATTGTACTACTTTGGGGAAGTAATCAGTATTTTTTTTTTTTTTTTTTTTTTACAATTTGATTGATTATAGCAAATAATTTTTTTGCTATAAGCAAGCATTTAACTGAATGAAATCGATTAATTAGTTTTTTTTGGTTGTGATTAGCTGTGATTGGCCACGGCTAATCACATGACACAGCTGGGCTGTGATTGGCCCAGCCTGTGCATGTGATTGCTGTGACCATTCACAGCTAGACACATTTGTATACAATGGATGGTATGAAAGGTAGCCCTTATATATAACTGTCATGTGACCTGCTGTGATTGGTCACAGCAGGTCACATGGTACTGGCAACGGGGCCTGTACACAGATCTATCATCGACCGTGTCCAAGGTACACAGCAGGTGACAAATCTCGCCACAGCAAGGCCCTGTTGGCACGCGCAAAGCGCAGTCTGGGAAGGAAGTCATAGGACGCCCTCCCAGAGGGACAAGAGGTTCGCCCGGCCGTCATTTGACTATAGGCAGGGCGGGAAGTGGTTAAATAAGGCTTATTTTTAATAGTATAGATATGAAAAAGTCTAAGTAAGATTAAAAACTTAAAGGGGAGGAATCGAGGAACCTCAAAACAATTCCACCAGTGCATGGAAGGATGTGCAGCTCTACAACAAGGCTGGGGAAGCCTGACTGATACTGTGAAGTGAAGCAAAAAGAAAGAGCGCACCAACCTTGCGCATTACCTCAGTAATTCAATTTAATAAAATATATATACTCACAAACCAGGATGTAAAACAAGCATTACAGATCCTCAAAGGAACTGGGAAGTGTAGAGCCAATGTAAGTCATGTCACAAGGGTAGACTTTCAAAGTGAGGCTGACACATTTCAAAGGGAGACCCTTCTTCATCAGAGCTCTATATAATTCATTTATAATTGAAAATGCACAGTATTTTATTTCATAATGTGCTGTGTGCCATTTTGTTTAACCACTTCCAGGATGGTCGGACGGGAGCAGTGCAGGAGGGGGTGGCTTCATAAAGGGCCTCCGCATTCAGTGCCTGTGAGCGCTCCCTGGGAACACCGATCGCTGTACGGGACCTCTGTGTGAGGTCCCGATCATGTGATCACTGATTGGCCAATCAGTGATCACATGAATAGTAGTAAGCAAGATGTCACTTCCTGACATCATTGCTTACTACTAGTGAAATCTGTGAATGATCACAGAGGTCACATGGTACTATTAACAACAGCCTTGTACTATGTGACAAGCTGTGACTATTCGCAGATCTCATAGTATTTCTCAATGGCTGCAAGAATGCAGCCAGAGAGAAGGGGAAAAGATTACTTTTACAGCCTTTATGGGAGTAAAAGCAAGCAGTGTAACAAAAAAAAAAGCTTCATCACCCCCCACAAGTAGTACAGTGTCACTATGGTGACACTGTACTGCTAGGGTGACAGTATGTTAAAAAAAAACAAAAACAAAAAATCTAAAAAAAATTAAAATGTAATAATTTTTGGTTATAAACTAATTTGGGTTATTTCTTTTTTTTACTAAAAAGATAGCTGAATACATTTTGGCCATGATTTATGAAAAAGATTTACTTGCAAAATTTTAGAAGAAAATCACTTTTTTTTCAAAATGTTTGGACTTTTTCATTTATATAACAAAAAAATAAAAATCCCAGCGGTGAATAAATACCACCAAAATAAAGTTATATCTGTCTCAAAAAAAGCTAAAAAATATATATGGGTACAGTGTTGCATGACCACGCAAGTTTCATTCAAAGTGTGATAGCACTGAAAGCTGAAAATTGGCCTGGACAGGAAGAGGGTGAAAGTGTCTGGACTTGAAGTGGTTAATGGAGGCTTTCAAAAAGCAGTTGGTACATTTTGCATAACCAACAGAAAACCAACTACAAATAAAATGTCCTCTCAGGAGTATTTTCTGTTATTAATCTCCTAGATTGTAAGCTCGAAAGAGCAGGGCCCTCAATCCCCTCATGTTTTGCATTGTATTGGTATTGTTCTGTCACATGTTCTGTCCCCCTTTGTAATGTACAGCGCTGAGCGAACTATTGGCGCTTTATAAATACTGTATAATAATAATAATAATTATGGAAAGCTCATGAATAGAATCACTAATATAAATTCGATGACGCTCTAAAAACAATTGAAATCTTCTGGCCCTTTAACTCCTTGAGGATGGAGAAGTATACCTGTCTTAAGGCTTCCATTTTGTCTAGGACCTGCAGGAATAATGGAAGAATGAACTGAAGGAGTTCCTTTTCTAGTACTTTCCCAAGGTAGAGGGGTCCTATGAGGAGAGATGAACATGAAATCGTTCGTTCACATGGTATAGACTGAAAGCTTTATGAAAACAAATCTAGTAATACACACCTAGATACTTCTGCTGCAGCTGGTACAGCCTCAGTAACTGTGCCGCCAAGACCGGGCTGCTGCGTAGTGTTCACTAATGCAACTGGGGCTCTGGAAGATAAGTGATAGCAAGTTTTACATAATCACTCATCGTAAAATAAACAACTCTTTATTTCTTCCAGGTATATCTAAGGGTAGATTCTCACTTTTGCATTTTGGTAACACAAGTATCATGAATTGATATTTTGCGTTAGTGCTCAAGGTGGTGCGTTGGAAAAGGAGTGAAAAAAAAAAAAGGGGGTTGTGTGCGATTTGGGCCACCCCGGGGTGTGTTGGCACCCTAAAATTAATGGGCTACCTTAACCCTTTGAGGACCGTAAGATTTTGGAATGCCAAAAGAATACATTTTTTTGTTTTTAAAGTTCGTACACTTCAGTTGCTGTAACTAAGCCATTTCATGAAATAATTGGCAAAAAGCTAGATCCATTTGTTGTTTGTTGACAAGAACTAATATTTTGACTCAAACCAAAAAAAAAAAAAAAAAAAAAAAAAAAGGGTTAAGTTCTTAATCAGATGATACACGCAATTACAAACATGGGACAAATACGTCCCTTGGTCCTCAAAGGGTTAAAGTTTTGTAAAAATTTAAAAAGAAAAAAAAAAAAAAAAGCATTAACACAAGGGGTGTTACAGCCAATGATCGGTGTCCCTTGTGCTGCAAGTTGCAGTTTTAGAAGAAAATCTCTGTCCTCTGACCTGCCCCCCCCCCCCCCATACCCCACAGCTGTAATTTTCTGGTGCAACAAGGGTTAATAGAAGTCAAGGGACCTGTTTTATGTACTCAAGAGTGCCAACTACACCTGCCCTTTCCATCCCCCTCCTACATTCATAGAGACTGTACTTTAGCTTCCGTGAATGAAAAATAATCTATGAGGGGAGAAGGGGGACCTTTCATTCATCTGTCGGTCTTCCATTCCTAGACTCTCAGCACGGCAGAGGTAAGTATTTACTTTCTTCTACACAAGGACAGCTTTTCCTAGCAATTTCAGACTGGCAACAGAGTCGAAGGATAAGTTTACTTTTGGAACATATTAAATGTTTCACCAGTTTTTAGGGTGGAATATGTAACATGTTCCATTAGCTGCACCCCGCAACCCCCTCCCTGCGACAGCAGGCAAAGGATCTTCTCCCCCCACCCACCGTCACAACTTAAAAAAATGAATAGCCTACAAGTACCGTCAGACATTGCAGCTGACGGCTTGTAGTTCTGGTTGTAAAGGCTCAAGGTTTTTTACCTACATGAATTCTATACATGAAGGTAAAACATCTTCTGTATGCAGCAGTGCCTCCAGCCCCCTCAATACTTACCTGAGCCTCATCGCGATCCATCAATGTGCACAACAGCCTCGGCTGTCTCGGGTCTCTGCCTCCTCATTGGCTAAGACAGCAAGCAGGAGCCATTGGCTCCTACTGCTGTCAATCACAGCCAGTCAGCCAATGAGGAGAGAAAGGGGCATGGTCAAGCTGCGGTTCAATGTGTGATTGGATACACGGAGCAGCAGCAGGTGCCCCCATAGCAAGCTGCTTGCTGTGGGGGCACCAAAAAGAAAGGAACAGCCAGGAGAGCCTAAGGGGGACCAGAGGAGGATCCAGGCTGCTCTGTGCAAAACCACTGCACACAGCAGGTAAGTATAGATGTTTGTTATTTTACAAAAAAGAAAATATGAACCCTTAATATCGCTTTAATTAACTACAAGTGACCTGGTGAGCACTCCGTTAGATTATTGATCTTCCTGTCATTCAGTAACTGCCTGCCCATACAAGGTACGTAGACAGCTATCCTGAGGGTCTGCAGGAGCGCAATGCTCTGCAGGCTCCTTAGATAAAAAATAATAATTGCACATTTTTTACCTGCAAAAATTGTGCATGTATTAGTTTTTTTCAAAAGGTGAAGTTATCCTTTAATGCAGAAGGATGAAATAAGTATAGCAGTTTCCAAGAAAGTATAACAGAAATAACCAGAAATTAAAGTGAAGCATTTTGCTTTCAATTAGGAAAGGGTTAGTAACTCTGCCTAGGTTTCAGTGCTGTATGTATGCCCATCACGGCCTTCCCCTATTTACTGTCCTGGTGACAATAGGTAGGAAGTGAGGAGAAATGTCTTCATTGTATTCAATCTTTTTTTAAGCCAAATACTCTAACAATTTTTACAGATCATCAAGTTAGGGTTAAGCATAAATAATGGTCTAATAATTATTCCCCTTACTCTGTGTGTATGGTGATAGCTAATGTGTGTTGCATAATTGCCGTGTACAAAAGCCTTACATACAGTAGATGTATGTGCATTTGTGCTTTTTTTTTTAATAAATGCTTTTCAATTTTTAATTTTCTTATCACAGGTCTTTATTGATATATTAGGAATGTCTACTTTTCCTTAGCCACAGCAAACTGAGGACAAATTATTCTCAATCTGCTGTTTTTCCACTCAAACTGGCCAGGACAGCTCTGAACCCTGAAGTTGAATCCTGAACCTGAACTTGCTCATCACCAAGGGGATTTTCCTCACTGTTTAATTTCCTCTTACTTCCATTTTTACTGCAGAAAAAGAAGAGAAGCATAATCTCCCCAATGGTACAAAGATGGCAAAAAAACTAAAAGACATTTTAACCCACCAGTTTTGATTTTGCACATGGGTAAGAATACTAACCCACTTCTAGATTCCTCTTTTAGTCCACTTTGGTTCTGCCCTATTTGTTCTTCTACCTTCTCTTGCTTTTGAGTTTTCTTACGAGCCAAGGCAGAAATCAACCACTCATCATCTTCCTGAGGCACAATAGTGATCTCTGCGCTGGTGCCTCTTGGCTGGGTTAGAGGCTCACCAGTTCCTGGCACAGGTGTAATTTCACCAACTCTTGGCACAGGTATATTCTCAATGGTTCTGGGGGGTGGTGTAGCCTGATTGGCCTTTGACTGGGGTGTAGTTTGGCTGCTTCTTGGCTGAGGAGTAGTTTGGTTATCTGGTTTTGTCCCAGATGGGGGACGTCCAGCAGAATTTGGCATTACAACAGATGTGTGGGATGGGTCTTTTAAAGGAACTGAAGGAGACAGATCTCGTACATCATCATCTTTAAGTCCCAACCAATCAGCCCCACTCTTTGCACCATGGGCTGGACTTCGAGCTACTGGGGTGGAAGTGAGCGACCTTGCATCTGATTTCAAGTTTTCATTACCGTCCTCAGAAAATCTGTTTGTAAATCAAAAGATAAATGCAGCTTCAACAGACTCATTTATTATGGTGGTTTAAAATGAAACAAGATTCAAATTGCTGCAACCAATAGGATTTTCTTTTTACATGCATCAAAACAGTGATAAATGACTTCCAATCAGTTAATAACTGCATAGCAAACGGACATTCACCCATCAAGGTATTTTAATATTTGCATTACTCCTCCCAAGAGACAATTCACTGCTTGCATCAGCGCTGAGGGCACTTAGGAGGGGTATGGTACGGTCATTTTTTTCAGGAAGCTATGTACAGCACTCTGCAGGCCCCTCCCACCAGATATGTTCTTTCTGCACTGCATAGAGAAGCACATAGAACCTCCGATTACACCACTGAGGTATGTAATGAAAAATAAATGTTTTATTTACCATTTTGATAAGGAGGGAAAGGAGGAACCAGGGAAGGCAAAATATTAGAGGATTAAACTTCAGATTTAAAAGTTAACCTGCCAAAATTGTGGGAACTGCCATGCTGACTTAATTTAAAGCTGCTGACCTGAAACACTCGTGCAGGGTGAAAGTTCAGACTTCAAAAAAAGTTCAACTCCAGGAAAAAAAAACAAAACAAAACAATTTTATATCATTTTGGATAGAGTGGAGGAGGGAGAAAGCATTGTTTCAATCAGAAGATCCTGTTAGAAAAGGAAGTGAAGGAGAATCTCACCAGTGGGTGTTACAGGTATAGGAAATTCAGGGATATCTCAACAATGGAGGTCACAGAAAAAAAAAAACACTTGGCACAAATTGAAATTCTTTCCCACTCTATTCAAAACTAACATTTGGCTGGAGTTAGGCTTTAAGACTTTTCTGGCTGTACGATTGCTTCATGTCAGGGACTCTGTAAGCAGTAAGGCCAGGATCAGTCCCAGAGCTTTTACCTTTAAAAGCATTTCAACTTCCATATTTAAAGCAGATCTTCACCCTGAAAACAAACTTCCCACCTCTCCACCATACAGATTTTACACTTTTATTTTCTTTTCCTGTTTGTTTACCTTTTCTTATTGAGGATGTTTCAGTCCCACCCCGCCCCCATTCTCGTTAACACCCGCCTAGGCAAATAATGTGCACTGTGCTCCCTGTGCCTACTGGAATATGCATATCACATATCCTAGGAAGTATAGTCTTTCATCTACAAAAGGAGGAGGGGGTGTGCCTCGCGACATGGCATTGATCGACTCGCTGGCTGAGCCCAGAAGAACCGGCAGCCTCACGATGATGTCACACAAGAACATGGTGGCGTGGGACCAGAGTGGTGGCAGAACAGGAACTCAGCAGGACAACACTGTATCCGCTAGGTGTGTACCCGAATTGTGCATAACCCCCAACCTGATAAGAAGAGGTTAAAAAAAAAATTGGGGGGGGGGTGCCAGTGGGTGTTGAAGTTCCACTTTAAGGTTCCCTTTAAAACCTGAAGTAGCAAGATGTGCAGCAACAAGAGAGTGAAAGACAAACTGAGTAGCTGAGGTTTATAAAAAGAGAACAGTTGAACAGCCCAGTAGTCCTAGTACCTGACTGATGAACGGCGAGATGGGCGTCCTTCAGGGCTCATGGCTACTGTCGGTTGATAGGAACCAAAAGCAAAGTTTTCATCACTCAGTGGATCCTCTTTTTCTGTCAAATATAAAGCCCTAATTACACTAAGTTCTAGTGCATCCTACTGAAAAAAAAAATGGGGGGGGGGGGCTTGGCTCACCAGCCATTTTCTGGTACTTAGGATCCAGTTTGAATTCTTTCTTTCCACCAGTCGCAGGCCTCTCCAACAGCTTAGGTGAAGTTCCTCTTCCTAACAGTTCATCCATTTTTAATCGTGCAGGCTTTAGAGTAGAGCTGAAAAATAAAAACAAAAACAGGTCCCCTGATATGTTTTATGCTGTAAAGACCTAAATTAATCAAGAGGAGGTTTTATTTTACAATGTAATCTTCCTTGTCCTGTCACACGTTCTCTCCTTTTAACCACTTATCCTCCAGAGGATTTACCCCCTTTCCTGACCAGGCCATTTTTTGCGATACGGCGCTGCATTACTTTAACTGACAATTGCGTGGTCATGAAGTTTATGTCATTTTTTTTTCCCACAAATGGAGCTGTCTTTTGGTGGTATTTCATTGCCTCCGCATTTTTTATTTTTTGCACTATAAACAAAAAAAAGACCTACAAATTTGACTTTTTGCTATAAAACATGTCCAGTAAAAAAATTTTAAAAATCAAAGTTCTTCATAAATTTAGGCCAAAATGTATTCTGCTACATATCTTTGCTACAAAAAAAAATCCCAATACGTGTAAATTAATCAGTTTATGTGAAAGTTATAGCGTCTACAAATATTGGTTTATATACTGGAATTTTTTTATTATTTTTTTTTTTTACTAGTAATGGTGGTGATCAGCGACTTATAGCAGGACTGTGGCGGGCATTCTGACACTGGGGGGGTAGGGACTGACTAACTGCCACTGACATCCCCAGTGACACGAATACAGTGATTAGTGCTAATAAAAAGCACTGACACTGTACTAATGTCACTGGGCAGGAAGGGGTTAACATCTGGGGCAATCAAAGGGTTAACTGTGTGCTGTTTTACTGTGTGTGCTATTATGTAAGCATGCTGCAGAACAATACAAAGCAGCATGCTGGTGCTGACAGGGGAGAGATCTGTGTTGTTTACATACAGACCTCTCCCATCAGTGTTCCTTGGCGATCGCCGGATGCCGGCGGGGAATCTCCGGTCAGGACCCTGTGATCAACAGCTGTAGCCGCCAATGGCGGCATGGGTACCGCAGCGCGCGCACGTTCCCTACCCGGAAATGCAAAATCACGTATATATACACACGTGATTTTGCCCTGTAACAATAGTTCTGCTATAGGATGGTCGGGAAACAGTTTAAGACATTCCATAATCCAGTCTCCCTGCCTTTCTCACAAATTTGCTCATAAATAATTTTAGACCTCAGTTGCAAGCAAAATTCTTCTGACTGCCTGGCTTTCCTGGACTAGAGCACTGTTGATATTTAGTACTGACCCCTGGATCTAAACTCATACCGGGAAAAACGCAGGGAAAGTTTGGACCCATTTGTTTGGATTCCCATTTTAAATATATGGCCATTGCATTAACAGACGGTCCCGTGTTACCTCTCTACTTTCTGAGAACTTTGTGGTCCATCACCAAATCCCAAAGCATCCATGATATCATCTCCATCCTCTTCAAAGTTCAGGTCGTCCTTTCTTTGAGTCCCTGGACGTGGTCTGGTTTGGGTTCTTGTTGGGCTAACAACTGACGGGTCTGCATAAAGTCCATCAAAAGTCAAAACACAAGAGAGAATGACAAAAAATTTACAAAAACATCAATCATATGAATTAGATATACACTATATTTGCCAAAAGTATTGGGACGCCTGCCTTTACACGCACATGAACTCTAATGGCATCCAAGTCTTAGTCCTTAGGGTTCATTATTGAGTTGGCCCACCCTTTGCAGCTATAACAGCTTCAACTCTTCTGGGAAGGCTATTTACAAGATTGAGACATGTGTCTATGGGAATGTTTGACCATTCTTCCAGAAGCCCATTTGTGGGGTCAGGCACTGATGTCCGACGAGAAGACTTGGCTTGCAGTCTCCACTCTAATTCATCCCAATGGTGTTCTATTGGGTTGAGGTCAGGACTCTGTGCAGGCCAGTAAAGTTCCTCCACCCCAAGCTCACTCATTCATGTCTTTATGGACCTTGCTTTGTGCACTGGTGCGCAGTCATGATGGAACAGGAAGGGGCCATCCCCAAACTGTTCACACAAAGTTGGGAGCATGAAATTGTCCAAAATGTCTTGGTATGCTGACGCCTTAAGAGATCCCTACACTGGAACTAAGGGGCCAAGCCCAACCCCTGAAAAACAACCCCACACCATAATCCCCCCTCCATCAAACTTTACACTTGGCCCACTGCAGTCAGACAAGTACCATTCTCCTAGCAACAGCCAAACGTAGACACATCCATCGGATTATGGAGAAGAGTGATTCATCACTCCTGAAAACATGTCTCCCACTGCTCTAGAGTCCAGTGACGGCGTGCTTTACATCACTGCATCTGAAGCTTTGCATTGCGCTTGGTGACGTAAGCCTTGGATGCAGCTGCTCAGCCATGGAAACCCATTCCATGAAGCTCTCTACGCACTGTTGTTGTGCTAATCTGAAGGCCATACGAAGGGTGGAGGTCTTTAGCTATTGACTCTGCAGACAGTAGGCGAAGTCTGCGCACTATGAGCTTCAGCATGTGCTGACCCCACTCTGTCATTTTACGTGGCTTATTACTTCGTGGCTGAGTTGTTGTTGTTCCCAGTTGCTTCCACTTTCTTATAATACCACTAACAGTTGAGTGTGGAATATTTAGTAGAAAGGAAATGTCACGGATGGACTTATTGCACAGGTGGCAACCTATCACGATACCATGTTTGAATTTACTGAGCTCCTGAGAGCGACCCATTCTTTCACAAGCAGTCTGCATGCCTAGGTGCTTGGTTTTATACACCTGTGGCCATGGAGGTGATTGGAACACCTGACCTGATTTGGACGGGTGTCCCAATACTTTTGGCAATATAGTGTATATTGAAGTGAACAAATATTCCACCTAATGTATTTGCAATATATGTTGTAATAATAAACTTGTCAGCAGGGGCGGACTGACAACTTATGGGGCCCCCGGGCAATAGGGGATCATTGGGGCCCGTGTCCTTGCCCAAACTCAAAAAAGCCTATGAAAAAGGTACCAGGGGCATCTCATGGGGCCCCCTACTGACCCTGCGGGCCCTCGGGCACTGCCCGAGTTTCCAAATGGTCAGTCCGCCTCTGCTTATCAGTCTTCGTAAGAACTGGGGGTTGCAGAAGCAAACCCTTTTACAGTAAACTATACAAGCATAGAGGACCCCAAACCTCTTCCCTTTCAGGGTAAGGTATTCTGATGAATAACTGTTTGGGAGATGGTTCCCTTAGACGTTCATGGGGATCTACAGTTCAGCCACTGTCAGGGATAAGAGGATTTCTGCTGGAGAAGCTGCTGGTGATGGGCTTAGTATGGTTGAGTCAGGGGGCAGGGGTATAAGCATGAGCGCACTTATTCTTAAAGTATATTTAAACCATAACAATGAACTCCTCTTATACGCTCCTTGTTAGTCTATTGTGGGAGAGATGGCTTGTCTGACTTATCTGGTATCAATAAAGCTTGTTGTACAGCAGAGTGCAGTTTATGAGTCTGTATTCTTGAAGAGGGTATTGTGAGTAGATTAATGAATACTTCTCGGTCTTTTTGGCATCAATCATCTGTATTTCAGATTTGAAAGGCTGCCACCTGATCTTCTGTTCATGCAGTTTGTACGTTTTATTAGGTGGACAGTTCGGCCTCCTTTTTTGGATGTACATACAGGCTCTATGAGCTCCAGGCAGTTCTCAGCCTCTGTTTTTTATTTGGCTTGTTAGCGATTGTTTGCTGTGTTGCCCACCCTGCTGCTGGACTGCTTTGGATGTCCCAAAGGTTATGTCATCCTGTGTTTCTCATTGGAAGCAAAGAAAATAGGATTTTTTTGCTCACCATAAAATCCATTTCCTGGAGAACATTGAAGAACATAGGCCCAACTCCTCTGGTTTTTTTTTTTATCATGCTCTCGGTCCTGTTGGTAGTAGGGATTATCGTAGGCTGCCCCACATATTGTTTTTTTTCTGTATAATATAAAAACTTGGCTTCATTTGTCCATCAATGGACACAAATCCTATTTTATTTACCTGTAATGTGTCCTTAAACTTGCTAGAACGTTTGAGCATCCTAGCCATGCCATCTTCCAGGAATATCTTTTTACGCTTTGTCATAAATCAGCTCATCTGTTTCCTCCCCTTCATTTTCCTAAATAATCTTTTCTATAGCAGCTAGGGGGGGGGGTAACAATAAGGAATACTATAACTTAACTCACAGCGGAACCTGATGAAATCATATTAAAAAGGGGGGGGGGGGGGGGGGGGGGCCCAGTAGCAGTCTTGGAGACTGGATGTCTATACAAAGGAGGCGCTTTTACAGTAAACAACATGCATAAAATACATTAAAACACACATACAATCTTATCGGATGATTTGTTTTTTACCACTTGCCTACCGGGTACTTTCACCCCCTTCCTGCCCAGGCCAGCTTTCAGCACTGTCGCACTCTGAATGACAATTGCATGGTCCTGCAACACTGTACCCATATAAAAATTTTCCTCCTTTTTTGCGCACAAATAGAGCTTTCTTTTGGTGGTATTTAATCACCTCTGTTTTTTTTTTTTTATATAACAAACCAAAAACAACTGAAATTTTTGAAAAAAAAAAAGTTTTTTTCTTAGATTCTGTTATAAAATTTTGTAAATGAGTAATTTTTCTCTTTCACTGATGTGCGCTAATGAGGCTGCAGTGATGGGCACTGATAGGTTGCACTGATGAGGAGGCACTGGTAGGTGGCACTGATGGGCATTGACAGGCATCACTGGTGGGCATTCACAGACATCACTAATTGGCACTGAAAGGCAATACTCATATATGGCACTGATAGGCGGAACTGACTGGCACTGATAGGTGGCACGGAAAGGCAGCTCAGATGGGCATTGATGTGCACTGGTAGACACTGATATGTGGCATTGATGTGCACTGACAGGTGGCATTGATAGACACTGACAGACGGCACTGATGGGGCTACACTGATCATCAGATCATCAGTGCCCTGATGATCAGTGTAGATGTCCCCTCTGAGAAATGCCAATTACCGGCTCTCCTCAAGAGCTGTCAGGAGTCATTAGAGTGGCAGGACGTCATATGACGTCCTCCCAGAATGAGAGAACCACCTTGCGCCTGTCATTTCCTTATATGGCGGGAGGAGGCGGTTTAAAATAAATGGTCCAGCTACGGGCCTCTAACTTCAGTAGAGGAAATTAGGGTCTCCAGCTGTGCCAGATAAGGTTGAGCCCAGTGACAAAATTGTGTAAATCTTATGGCCTGTACACACGATAAGAATATTGTACGAAAATTTCTGTTCAAGGGACCAACCAATTATCTGACTGTTAGTACAGTGTTTTCGACAGCTGAGTCTGACTTTTTGGACAACAAAAACTGAGGGTGCAAGCTAGAAAATGTTTACTGTACATGAACATGTCTGATTTTTATTTAATGTGTACAGTAATCATATGGACATAATCGAACAGAAAAAAAAAACCCTGCATGATCAGAAGCAAAGAAGGACCCTACACTTCCTCTTCTACGTAGCTACGTTTGCCTTTGTCGGCCGAGAATTGTCTTACAAGTCAACACCATTCCGACTATACAATGATACGCATTTTCAGGGAAAATAGGACAATCGGTCGTCTGATTTTCTCATAACGTGTACTAGGCTTTAGAATTGGATGGACAGAAATACAAATCCTCTCTCGCAGGTAACCATTCCCCATATATGCATTTTATCTGTGTATATACTTATTGCCTAGAGTTCGGCTTTAATATTCGGTCAGTAAGTCTGTGTCAATATTGGCTAAGTTTATCTGTCTCTCTGTATTAATATCTTTCACTAATTCCCATGTTTAGATATAAACAAAAAATCACTTTGGAATTATTTTGCTTTTACAGCATATGCTCATCTTGCATTTTCCATGTGCTATCACAGAGGCAGACAAATAGGAAATTGTTCCTATGCATATGACGTGCATCAGACTGCTAAAAAATGCTTCTTAAAACAAGGTTTGGTGGTTTCTCTGCTATTTTTTTATTCCTGCAGATTTCTTACCATTTGTCTTTGCGGATATAGATTCTGATTTTGCTGGTGCAGATTCTGATTTGGCACTTGGAGCTTTTGACTTCTTAGGAACACCAGTATCTTCATCAGACAGAAGACCTTCAAGTGGGTCATTTAGGTCTTTAACAACAAAAGAACATAAACAAGAATAAGAAAAAAAACTGATTGACTGAAAGAAAATTAAATTATATGAAACCACAAAAACAGTGATAGAATGTTTACCCATTAGGTCTTTAATGTCCATTATTAAACTACTTGGCTTTTCTGGATGTCTCCAGATAAGAGATTGTTTTATAATTAAGACTCATAATTATTTGATGCATTTGAAATCACATTTATAAAATATATACATTTAATCACTTGCCTTCCGGAAGATTTACCCCCTTACAGTGGTAGTAAACTCTTCTTATAATAAAGCTTACCTGCAGGTAAAATTATTATCTCCTAAACGTGAACCGTTTAGGAGGAGATATTAGCCCTGTTAACCGGCGCATGCGCTCTGAAGGAACGGCATACCTGTGCTGCTCCTTCAGAGCACCGAGCCGCGCATGCTCAGGAGTGACGTTATTTGCCAGTCAGCCGGCCAGAGCTTGAGAACCAGGAAGGAAAACCGGGTGAAGATGGAAGCCCCGGGGAGCCGTGACAGCACTCCTTTGGAGGGCTTCGTTCCAAGGGAAGTCCTTTATAATGTGCTAGTATGCAATGCATACTAGCACATTATGCCTTTACCTTGTAAATGTAATGGCGCGGTTATGCAATCGTGTACCCTAACGAAATTTATGTCCTTTTTTCACACAATTAGAGCTTTCTTTTGGTGGTATTTGATCACCAATGGATTTTTTATTTTTTGTGATATAAATGAAAAAAGACTTAAAATTAAACAGAAAATAACACAAAACAAAAACCCTACATTTTTTACTTTTGGTTATAAAAAATATATAGTAAACTCAAAGTCAGCCATAAAATTCAGGCCAAAATGTATTCTGCTACATGTCTTTGCTAAAAAAAAAAAGAAAAATCCCAATACATGTACCGTATTTGCCGGGGTATAAGACGAATGGGCGTATAAGACGACCCCCTACTTTTCCTGCTAAAATGTAGTGTTTGGGCTATACTCGCCGTATAAGACTACCCCTCTTCCAATGCACAACAGTGGGAGGAATAGTGCCCCATCATCGGTGTCAGTGGCAGGAATAGTGCCCCATCATTAGTATCAGTGGGGGGAATAGGTGCCCCATCATTGGTATCAGTGGGGGGAATAGGTGCCCCATCATTGGTATCAGTGGCAGGAATAGTGCCCCATCATTAGTATCAGTGGGGGGAATAGGTGCCCCATCATTGGTATCAGTGGCAGGAATAGTGCCCAATCATTAGTATCAGTGGGGGGAATAGTGTCCCATCATTGGTGTCAGTGGGAGGAATGGTGTCCCATCATTGGTGTCAGTGGGGGGTGGAATAGTGCCCCATCATTGGTGTCAGTGGGGGGTGGAATAGTGCCCCATCATTGGTGTCAGTGGGGGGGGTGGAATAGTGCCCCATCATTGGTGTCAGTGGGGGGGGGGAATAGTGCCCCATTGTTGGTGTCAGTGGGGGGGAGGAAAATAGTGCCCCATTGTTGGTGTCAGTGGGGGGGAGGAATAGTGCCCCATCGTTGGTGTCAGTGGGAGGAATAGTGCCCCACCATTGGTGTCAGTGGGAGGAATGGTGTCCCATCATTGGTGTCAGTGGGGGGAGGAATAGTGCCCCATTGTTGGTGTCAGTGGGGGGGGGAATAGTGCCCCATTGTTGGTGTCAGTGGGGGGGGAATAGTGCCCCATTGTTGGTGTCAGTGGGGGGGAGGAATAGTGCCCCATCGTTGGTGTCAGTGGGAGGAATAGTGCTCCATCATTGGTATCAGTGACACCAATGATGGGGCACTATTCCTCCCACTGACACCAATTGCACTTGCTGACCCTGTTCTAGTATGGTGCTGTTGCAGCCAGCATATGTGGTTGCAGCAGCACCTCTACACTGAACACTTACCTGCTGCTCCTGCACTCGATTTTCGAGGGGGCCGCTCGGCTCCGCCCCCTCGACGGTGATTGGCCGCCTGTGTGCCTTTCCTGAGCTACAGTTCTGGCAGCCAATCACCGGTGAAGAGGGGAGCCGAGCAGCCGCGAGAACATCCAGTGGCCGAACTGAAGGAGCAGCCGCGCTTCCTGGACCGGATCGTTGTGGGACCGGAGCCAGGTAAGAAACAGCCCCTGCCCACCCCTGTACTTAGTGTCCCTTCCGTTGGAAAAGGGGGGGGGCGGTGGCGGCACCGCGCCGTCCCCCTAAAAAGTGTCAGTATGCCGTATACCGGCGTAAAAGACGACCCCCGACTTTTGAGAAGATTTTCAAGGGGTAAAAAGTCGTCTTATACACCGGCAAATACGGTATATTAATTGGTTTGTGTGAAAGTTATAGCGTCTACAAACTATGGTATATATATTGGAATTTACGCAGCTTTTACTTTCACATTTCTTGAGGTGCTAAAATGCCAGGGCAGTACAAAAACCCCAAAGTAGATACCCCAAATAATCCAGGGCAGTACAAAAAACCCCAGACTAGACACACCAAAGAATTTACTGAGAGGCATGTTGAGTCCATGAAACTTTTTTTTTTTGCCACAAATTTTTTGAAAATGACAAAAATAATTTTTCTTTTTACACAAAGTTTTCAGTTAAAAGACATGTTGCTCACACATGCCATGGGTATATGTGGAATAACTCCACAAAACACATTCTGCTACTTCTCCCAAGCATGGGGATACCACATGTGAGAGACTTTTTGGCAGCCTAGTCACTTACACCCCCAAAAATCCAATGGCCACCTCCAGGCTTTCAATGGGCATATTCCCTCATATCACTTCCTCACTTCCTATCACAGATTCGGAGGCCCTGAAATGCCAGGATAGTGCAAACATCCCTCCAAATGACCCCTTTTTGGAAAGTAGACACCTCAAGAAATTTGATAAGAGGCATGGTGAGTATTTTGCAGATATCATTTTTGTCAAAGAGTTTTGAAAAAGAAAAAAAAAGAAAAGAAAAAATACATTTTCGTTTTCCTTCTTCATTTAAAAAAAAATTATGGCAACAAATGAGATCTGCAAAATACTCAGCATGCCTCTCAGAAAATACCTTGGACTGTCTACTTTACAAAAAGGGGTCATTTGGGGGAGAGGGTGTGCTTCTACTATCCTGGCATTCAGGGCCAACAATAAAAGCTTATGCCACACATCATCCACTCTTCTAACCACTTGAAGACAAAGCCTTTTCTGACACTTTTTGTTTAATTTTTTAGCAAAAAAAAAAAGTTTTCTTCAAGTACTTTGAACCCCCAGGCATTATATATTTTTTTTTAAAGCAGAGGCCCTAGAGAATAAAACGGTGGGTGTTGAATTTTTTTTATGTCACACAGTATTCGTGCAGTGATTTTTCAAGCGCAAATTTTTTGGAAAAAAAATACACTTTGTAGAACAAAAACACAATATATTGCCCAATTGTTTGATAAACTATAAAAGATGATGTTACGCCGAGTAAATAGATGACAAACATGACATGCTTTAAAAATGCGCACGCTTGTGCAACGGCAACAAATTACACAAATTTGTCATATCCATAGGCAATGCACAGGTCACTACTTAAGATTTACACAGGGGGTCTAGTGCAAGAATTACTGCCCTCAATCTGACATTTGTGGTGATACCTCACATGCATGGTGCAACATCTGTTTACATATCGGTGCAATCTCTGTTTACATACCGCCATGGGACCGCCGCTTTTTTTTTTTTTATTTATTTTGTTTTTTATAATATTATTTTTACACTGTCCCTTTCATTTTTTTTTTTTTTTCGATCACTTCAAATGAAAATATCCCTGTGATAGCTATAGGCAGTGACATGTATTCTTTTCTGAGAAATGTGCTGTCAATTAGACTCTAGATCGGTGTGATCAGATGCTTTCCCAATTTTAAAACGGCGTTGTTTTAATCCGGCGAAACAGAAATGATGAAATGCTTGTAGCTTCCAGTCTCTTAGACCGTATTAGACTGCCTTTTTTGGGTTCCCCAGTGGAACAGGAGAGCCCAAGAAAATCTTGGAAGGCGACGAGAGGGGTGGGGGAGTACCTTCCCACTGCTTGAAAAAGCGATCCAGTAACTAATTAGCAGGTAGGATTGTTTTTACATGAAAGTTGACCGCCAGCTGAAATAAACAATACCAGGATGATGCCTGTAGCTGCAGTCATCATCCCAGTATAGCCACTCAAAGTGCAGTGCAGTACCAGTAGGTTGCTGGTCCATGTTGGGCATATATGTAACAGAAGAGAACATGGACATATGATGAATTGGCTCTCTGGACCAATATGACCGCAATTCACTCTTTTTTGTGAACCCCATGTTGAGGGTTAGGCCCAAAAAAAAAGTTTTAAATTGAGAAACTGATAGGTTTCCATGCAAATTTTCTTTCAAGAGCTGAATTTGGGTAGGTGGCGATGTATTGTTGTCCATATAAATTGCCTTGGCCCACAATCAATTGGTACAAATTGTCCATCAAAAACGGCAGTGAGGCTAAATGGTAGTGCTGGCAGCGAACGGGGCTGATCCTGCTAACACTGCATTTTTGGGGGCACTATACAAAAGGAGGCACTAGTATAGTTCTGTTCATGATCAATATATTGATTTGTACATTACTAAACTAGTAATGGTGGTGATCAGCAATCCATAGCGTGAGTGCGATAGTGTGTGGGCAATCTAACGCTAGCTGACCTTACCTAGCTGGGAGAGGTGCTAACTGACCCTGACGTTATCTGATGTCACTAGTGGCAGTAATACAGCAATCAGTGAAAAATTCTATATACTGACACTGTACTAATGGCACTGGCTGGTTGACGGGGTGATCAAAGGGTTAATAGGGGCGCTCAAAGAGTAAATGTGCTAATCTAACGTGTGTGTAAAATGTAGTGCTTTTAGTTGATGCCGTGTTCGTTTTTCTCTCCCTGGGCAGCATCGAGTAATGCAATGTTACCATACTGACATTGTACTACTCTCGGAGGGGGGTGATTTTTTTTTTTCATTTTACACTGCAATGCAGGAGCAATAAAGATCATTGCTCTGCAATGAAAAGCTTGGTTTAAACTGTCAGGAATGAGTTAAGGTTATGACAGTTCAACATAATAGTGATCTGTGATTGGCTCCAGCTGGTCACATGGTATGTGATTAGCCCCATGTGTCATGTGAGAGCTGTGGGCCGATTACAGCTCTCCAGGAACAGAAGCAAAGTTTTTGTGAATTAGATGGATTCATAAAATTTTTGTTGTCATTGCGATCACGTGATCACCGGGTCCTGATTACTGGGATTCTCATTCTGCCGTGTCCGGTGGACACAGCAGACGTGACGGGGTAGAGTTGCACGCCTGCTTGGGCACGCAGCACCCCCCTGTGTTGACAAAAGACCAGAGACGTATGGGTACGTTGCTGGCCCTGTAGCTGCCACATGTCCGCAGTACATTGTGGGTGGCCCCAAAGTGGTTAAAACATACCAACTAAACTGTTTAGCGTTTTTCTCACAAACATATGCAAATCGCACGGTTTTGGTGCTAGCATTTCAGAACTGATTTTGATGCAGGGCAGTGAGGTCCCACAATTTTTCCCAATGACAAGGTAAGTATGCATCTGAAGATATTAACATAGTGGTTGGCTTACTAAAACTGGAGAGTGCAGCTCTGTATGGTAGCCAATCAGCTTCTAACTTCACCAGATTTTGCACTCTCATGTTTTAGTAAATGAACCCCTTGGTGTTAAAGCTGAACTCCACACCATGCAAATGGTCCCCCACCCACAACCCAGAATGTTGGAATGAATATATATCAAGAAATAATGCAAGTAAAACCACTTTTTCCTCTACCCCTAGTCTTATCAAGCACTTAACCTTTGCAGTGTGTGGAGGAGAGTGGATTTGGACCCACTGCAAGGTTGTTTTTGTGCAATTCCTGGAGTTCAGCTTAAGGATTAAATAAAAGTGGGAGTGAGCTTAAAGGAAGCAGTAAGTTTGAAGGGTAGCCTATGGGTAAGATTAATTGTACCTGTATTGAGCAAAGGAAAAGTTTTGATATACAAGAAGAAATGTCAACATCGATCCACAGGATCAGGGAGGTAGTGAATTAGGTGGATGGTACCTTAATTCTGCTGAAATTGCCTTCTCTAAAGTAAACCTCTTAGTATTCGGGTTCAAGTTAAAGTATTACTAAACACGAGACCCTGCATTCACTATATCCGGTCTCCCACAGTACACAGAACATGGAAATGCAATTACTTTAGGAAATATAAACTGCTAAATCCCTTTTCTCATTAGCAGTATATAGCAGTCTTGTGACTCCTATCAGTGTGCAGCTGAGCACTGGTTAAAAGGAGGAGTTTTAATTCTCCTCTCACTGCCCTATAAGGCTGCATAACCCCTGACCCTCTTTCTGGACAGTGCTGATTGGGAGAGTGCATGTAATCCGCACAGGGCCAAGGAAAAGAAAAAAACTCTCTAGCTGTACACAGCAGTACACACCAAAACTGAGCATGTGCAGAGTGCCCCCGAGGCTGTGTTCTATCAGAAGATGAAATGGGGACTGTGAAAGAGGGGGGGAATCAGAGAAGACAAGATAAAACATCCGTTTTACAAAATGCAGAAGATTAACTCCTTAAGTTCCACAGTGAGTATAACAAGCATGCTTTACTGCATATACAGACTGATTTTACTGTTGTGGGTTTAGTAACACTTTAATGTGGGCCTAAATTTTAAAAAAGTGTGGATTTGCTATGTTATAGGGAACTTCTAAAAACATTATTGTGCCCAAGCATTACTTACCTAGCAGTGCACTTTCTGACACATGACTGTGCCTAGACCAGGGGTAGGCAACCTGAGAGCCGCAGGACTAAAAGTTCCATCATGCCTCTGCAAGTCATAGCTGTAACTGTCAGTTTTGTAATCTTTGCAATGCCTCATGGGAAATGTAGTTCCACAACAGCTAGAGAGCCACAGGTTGCCTACCCCTGGCCTAGACAGTCCTGTATCTTCAGGCTCATGGTTGTTTATCTGCAGTGTGGGACCTAAGGAACTGGATGCCACAGTTCAATTCCTCTCAGTATAATGGTGTCAAGATGGTTTGCTTTTTCATTTCTGAAATGCCTGCCCAGACAACGTTTACAAGACATCAGCACTGAAAATCTATATTCCCCTAAATGTAAATCAAACATATTATCCTATAGCAGACATTTGGTAGCAATCCAGTTTTTCTTTACTGCTGGAAGACTTGGTTCATGGAGATGAACTCCACAACCCGAGCTAAGGTCTCTGCAAGTTGAATTGTGGGGTCCTGGAGGTTGGACTAGTGTAGTATACGTTCTCCGACTGTATAATGATGGCAGTAGACTAGCCCCTGCCTTTTCGTATAAAAATGATTTTAAAAATAGTGAAGGACTATAAAAATAGTGAAAGCACAATGCAGCCAACATCAATTACAGTTGAAACTGCTACATAAAAATAGAAATATCTTACGTAATGAAATATCTACATCCTGGGAATCCTCTGACCAGCATTAAAAGCAGAGAAGAAAGTAAGAATGATGTCATCGCATTCACACATTCAGTCCACCCATACACAGTATGAATGCATTTACTTACCATCAAAGGAAAATTTCTTATACGGTCTGGCTTGGCCTGCAGGAGCAGATTGTGGCTTCTTCTCATTCTCAGGAGCAAGGTTTCCTGCCATATAGGAAAAGGTTAGTGTTTGGAGTTTATGGGTATTAAGGACTTTCTCTGCACTGCTCACAGAATTATTATATATTAAAGTGATCTGCTGCACCTAGAGGAGCTTCTTCTCTCCTTACTACACAGAGTCTGCTACAGTACTGCATAGAGCTTGCCCTAAGTGCTACACGGTCCCCCCCTTATCCAAGTCACCTGGACTATTTCTAAATACTACTAGACTTTTCGGACTTTGGTCCAGTATTTGCGCTGATTATCATTACTTCTATTGCAATCTTCTACAGTATTACACTGTTAATGCAATGAGCAACGTTGCCATAAGTAAAACAAGGACTGGGCCAACAATTACTGCCTGTCCAGATATAGACAAAGCAATCGAACAGGGCCAATAAGGCTCTTTACTTATGATGATTAATCTAGTAAAATCACACCTGGGGTACTTCATATTCAAACCAGAATCACCACCCTGTTCTAACGGTTTTAGTGAAAAGTCCAAAGACAGTTTTCTTCTTCTTTCTTTAGTCTAGAACAAGGGTTTCCAAACTTTCTAAACAAGTCTGAAGTTTACTGTCCTTCAGACTTTAGGGGCACGAGACTGTAGTCATCGGGACTAGAAAATGTCCTGGCATCAGTTGGAGTAAACAATGACCCATCGTTGGGGTCATTGGTAGGATCTGTTCCCCATTATTGGTAGGAATTGTGCCCAAACATTGGTAGGAATTTTGCCCCAACATTGATGTCATTAGGCACCCTTGTTAGTGTCATTGGCAGGAATTGTGCCCCAACATTGGTAGGAATTTGGCACCATTGCTGGTGTCATTGGTAGGAATTGGGCACCATTGTTGGTGTCATTGGTAGGTATTGTGCTCCAACAATGGTAGGAATTGTGCCCGATCACTAAAGTCAATGCAAGGACTTGTGCCCCAACACTGGTATCATTGGAAAGAATTGTGCCCCGTCACTGGTGTTATTGGGCCCCAATGTTTGTGTCATTGGGAGGAGCTGTGCCCCATCATTGGTGTCATTGGGCACCATTGCTGGTGTCATTGGTAGGAATTGTGCCCTAACATTGGTGTCATTGAGCACCATTGTTGGTGTCATTGGTAGGAATTGTGCCCCAACAATGGTAGGAATTGTGCCCTATCACTGAAGTCAATGCAAGGAATTGTGCCCCATCACTGGTATCATTGGAAAGAATTGTGCCCCATCACTGGTGTTATTGGGCCCCAATGTTTGTGTCATTGGTAGGAATTGTGCCCCAACATTGGTGTCATTGGGCACCATTGTTGGTGTCATTGGTAGGAATTGTGCCCCAACAATGGTAGGAATTGTGCCCTATCACTGAAGTCAATGCGAGGAATTGTGCCCCATCACTGGTGTCATTGTAAAGAATTGTGCCCCATCACTGGTGTTATTGGGCCCCAATGTTTGTGTCATTGTGAGGAACTGTGCCCCATTATTGGGCACTATTGTTGGTATCATTGGGAGAATTGTGCCCCAACATTGGTAGGGGTTGAACCCCAACAATGGTGTCATTTGGAGGAATTGTGCCCTATCACTGAAGTCAATGTGAGAAATTGTGCCCCATCATTGGTGTCATTGTAAAGAATTGCGCCCCGTCACTGGTGTTATTGGGCCCCAATATTTGTGTAATTGGGAGGAATTGTGCCCCATCATTGGTGTCATTGGGCATCATTGTTGGTGTCATTGGGAGAATTGTGCCCCATCATTGGTGTCATTGAGAGGAATTGTGTCCCATCGTTGGTGTCATTGGGAGGAACGGTGCCGCTTCGTTGCGGTCAGTGAATAAAGTGGTGCTCGAAGAGCCAGATAAAAGCAAGAAAAGGGACGCATTTGGCCCTCGGGCAGCAGTTTGGAGAATACTGGTATAAAATATTCCAAATTCTCCGATATTGGCAGCAACTGTTACACCACCAGATAACAGTGACTTGTGTAGCTGGTATATTTTGATCAAATCCCCGATAACTATTAAGAAGCACAGATGTTAAAGCGAAACTAATCCCTCCAATACTTTACAGCCATAGAAGCTGCCATCTTAGCCTCCGATCTGCAGTTGCCATTTGATGGCTTGACAGTTTGTTTGAAGGCACAAGCAAATGTGACAGTTATCATTCGCAGCATAATTTGCATTTAACGGTTTTGTGAAGCAGTTAAAGAGGTTGTAAATCCTCCCCTATAGCCAATGAAGTGAATAGCCTTAGGTGATACGTATAGATCAAACAAATCCTCCTACATAAATTGTACCTGTCCATCTGCAGACTTTTCTTCATCCGTTCAAAGTGCAGAATTTATAAAGCTTGTTTAAGCGTTCAGAAAAAAAGGGGGCAGAGAGCTGAAGTTACACTCTGCAGAGCTCAGTGAGGAGAGCTCTGAGAGCTGATTGGAGGGAAGAGGCACAACCCCTTCACACAGTCCACAGAATCAAAGCTGAGGCTGTCAATCAGTTGGAGGTCTCTCCCCATTACCATATTTCTCTTGGTGTCAGGAAAACTTGTCAGAGGTGATACATGCTGATAGCAGAGGAATGAAGCAGCAGACAGAAATGACACTTAGTGCTCTGGAGTGAGACAAGTACACACTCTAGAGCAGGGGTGGGCAAACTTTTTGACTTGAGGGCCGCAATGGGTTCATATATTGGACCCGGGGGCAGGACCAAGAGTAGATGAATGATGTGTATGTGTGAATTAATATAAATTTAATTAAAATTTGTAACATTAAATGTTTAGATTAATTTAAGGTAGAAAAGCATAAAAAGAGTTATTTTACAAAACTTTTATGCCCCCCACTAGCTGCTGGCCGGCCCAGCCACTACCATGCCATCCATAGTAAGTATAGTAATATTCCCCCATAGTAAGCATAGTAATTAATCCCCAATATAGTAATTCATCCCCCATATAGTAATTCATCCCCCAAAGTAATTCATCCCCCCTATAGTAATTCATCCCCCCTATAGTAATTCATTCCCCATATTAATTCATCCCCCATATTAATTCATCCCTCATATAGTATTTCATCCCCCATAGTACTATTCCCCCCCAAGTAGTAAGCCAAGTCCCCCCTGTGTCAATTTACTTACCTTTGCTCGCCGTGTTCCCGCGCCGTTCCGGTCTTCAGGGCGGACTGTGAGAGGAGCCTAGCTCCCCTCACGTTCGTCACGCTGCCCCGCCTACACACATCCTGACAGCCAATGTTTGCCTGCCCTGGCTGTTTTTTTTTTTTATCACGCTCCGCCGGCCGGATTAAAAGGTCCGCCGGGCCGTATACGACCCGCGGGCCGTAGTTTGCCCATTGCTGCTCTAGAGGGATATGCTTTCTTCATATTTCATGTCTGAGGTTTACAACCTCTTTAAATGGATGGGTTTAGTTCTGCTTTAATGCCAGTTTAAAGTGGAACTTTAGACAGAAAATTAAGTCCTGATTGACCATTTTTTCACGCTGGCCCCTTTTTCAAGTATAACTATGTAAAACATTAAAAATAGGTGCCTAACTGTTTAAAATCCAGTAATGCACTGTCTCACTCTGCAATTGACATGCTCAGTTGCTCTTTATTCTCAGCCCTAAATCAGAGCCACTAGAGGCTGATCAGCTGACAGCTTTAAGATTTACTGTTGCTGAAGGGGGGGAAGAAAGCAAGAGGAATGACACAGACTGTGAAGAGAGAACACAGATCAGGGACAGAGAAAAGAAGAGCAGGAGAGGTGACAGACACATTTTGCTGCCAAGGAGACACAAAAAGGATAGTTTCTTAACTAATTTCCCTGATATTATCTACTTACTCCATCATCGGCAGATCTGTGAACTTCAGCACTGTAAAGCTTCTGTCAGCCTTCCACTCTAACTGAGCCAAGACAATCAAGGCTGGAAATGTACATATTTTAATTGAAGAAAGTGACCTATAGTTTTTGAGACCAAGGAAAGGGGGAGAGTTTCCAATAAGGAAGTGACTGATCTGGGCTTTAACAAAATGGTGGCCTAAAGTAAGAAGAAACAGGAGCCATGCTGGAGGCAGTTTACAACACACCCTAATTTTGGTACCATAGCTATTAATGTGGAATGTATGTTCTCTTGTTAAAGAGCATTAATTGCTATCAAATTGTTTTGGGTAAAGTTCCACTTTAAGCTGCACATGTATACCCCACCTTGTGTTATTACAGGATATTTAAGGAAGCCACTCTGACCAAGTTTCAGAATCATTGGTTTACAGGTAAATAGCTGTTGATACATTACTAAAGATTTATGCTTCTGTGTTTGCCATTTACCATTTTTAGTACCAGTCTTGTTTTGCGCTTTTCTGTCACTGATGGTACTTCGGGTAACCCCAGAATCCTTTGCAGGAGCTGAGTTTGGCTTTCTAGATCCAAATATCTCTGCATCCATATCTTCCAAATCCTATAAATCAAAGCAAACATATAGTACAGTATGTTTTGCACTCAGTCCAATTTGTGGTCATTTACAACATGCATGGCTAATAAACATTTATTTTCAGATCACCTTAATGGGAATACATTGATTTTATAATATATTTCTTTTTTTTTTTACAATTCATATTTATCACTTGCAGCTAACAGGTGGTGAGCGTAAAGTAAAACAGTTGCTTCCTACAGGCTAAAAAGCCTACATCATGGGGGGGGGGGGGGGGGTGGTCATTTGCTTCCCTATACCCAAAAGCTGTGGCAGCCACAGAAGGAGTAGTAGTGGAGTGCTAGAGAGATGAGCATAAGGTTTCTTTTTAACCATTTGCTGTCCAAGGACGTCCCTGTACGTCCTGAAGTTGCAGTTGTTATACCAGGGCTATGGCTGCAGCTGCAGCCTGACCCCAGTATCGGTCTTTTCAGCCGGCGATGCTGAATAAACTAAAAGTGATCTAGGTGGCCAATTAGCCATGGATCGATTTTACAGGCAAAGGGAGGGGGTTTCCCTGGTGGGACGAGAAAGCCCGGGACTGAAGCAGGCAGATCCGCCGTCTGACCATAGAGATGATCAAGGACCAGAATGTCCCAGATCATCTCTATGGTCTAAGAAACCAGAAGTGACCGTTTCAGTCTAATGTAAACTTACCGTTATCAGCCTATGAAAGCATCAGATCCTTTTGAAGGGCAGCAAAGAGATCAGGGGTCTAATAGATCCAGGATCTCTCAGTAAAGAGTACCTGTCACTGCCCATGCTATCACAAGGGATGTTGTTCATCTCTTGTGATAACAATACAATTGATTAAAAATAATTAAAAAAAAAGACAGTTAGTGTAAAACTAAATAAAATATATAAAATAAATACATTTTTTTTTTTTTAAATGTAACGTGCCCTAGTTCCCCCTGTGCTCATGCGCAAAGGCGAATGCATACGTAGGTCGCACTCGTATATGTTAATTGTAATCACACCATACGTGAGGTATCACCGTGAATGTTATAGCGAGAGCAATAATTTTAGCACTAGACCTCCTGTGTAACTCTTTAACTGGTAACCTGTAAAAACTTTTAAAGTGTTGTCTACAGAGATTATTGGGTACCATAGCTTGTCACCATTCTACGAGCGTGTGAAATTTTAAACAGTGACATGTGAGGTATCTTTTTTTTACTCCACGTAACATCATTTTTTATATTTTACCAAAACAATTTGGGTATTACATTGTGTTTTTGTGCATTAAAATTCATTAAAGTGTATTTTTTTCCAAAAAAATTGCATTTGAAAAACTGCTGCGCAAATACCATGTGACATAAAAAATTTCAACACCCACCATTTTATTCTCTAGGGCCTCTGATTAAACATAAAACCACCAAACATTAGTTTAGTAAAGCAATTTTCCAGCAAAAAAAGCTGATTGTTACATTTATGTGAAAAGTGTTAGTATAGAAGCAATTAATCAGTTTATTTATGGTCATTCTTTTACAACTATGTAAAATAAAACTGAGCTAAATACATTATACTTTCCATATCCATTCATCATCAAATTTTTTTACTTTAACACATCTGTAAATGTACAACACGGGTTACCTTCAAGCTTTCCAGAACAGCCTCCGGATCAGCCTCTGAAACATCATAATCCTGTTTAAAAAAAAAAAACAAAGATTACATTATTTTCGAGAAATGTACAAGATGTTCCCAACTTGTAATACAAGAACACAAAGCACCAACCACTCTGTGTATAAATCATGACACTGAACTGAAAGCATCATGGATGGTACTTAGAAAAATTACATTTTAGTAGCGTCTTGTTCTATAAGAAACATTGTCAAATGTTTCTGCTGGTATTTAGAGGGACAGTGCTCCTGGATTTGTGCCATAGTACTGAACAGCAAATAATGTGTATAACAAGAAAATTACGGGGGTAATCCGGTTCTCTAAGGCTCCATGTACACTGCAGCTGATAAACTCACGTTTTGGAGCTTTTCTGAGTTTTTTTCAGCAGCCCCTGAACTCTCCCTAATGTTTTCCTATGTGTCCATGTACACATCGTCATTTACAGTCATTTACAGGCAGTAGAGTTTACAGTCGTTTTTTTGAACACACCAAACTTGCATTCAGGAGTAGATTTTATCAGCATTTCATACGCCAAACGCTTGTAAACGCAGCTAACCGTATTTATAAGCGTTTGCGTTTTTGAAAATTTTTTTAAGTCTTCCATTTCCAGCTGCTGTCCAGAGCCTTTTTTCAGCATGAAAAATGCATGCAAAACATTTTCCTGGTACTCAAATGGACCTGGTACACCATATTTTGAGGTTTTGCATGAAAGAAAATATGTTAGACACTGCTGAAACAATAACTGCACAGAAATGAGCTGGAACACATCCAAACACCACAAAAAAAAAAAAAAAAAAAAAAAAAAAAAAGACAGGTAAGCTTAACAAATTCTGCTCTCTCCATTTTGCTCTCTCAAAATGTCTGAAATAGTGAGTTTTTTTTCATTGCATTCTGGGTATTTTGGAAGGTCTCCTGAGGTTATCTTTAAAAAACGCTTCTAACAGCAAACGCTCATAAACGCAAAAAAAACACGGTATACAAATGCGGCTAAACAGACGTTTTGTGAACCTTCGTTCTCCAGCAGTCAGTTTCCAATGTTCAGAAGTGTCCCGTGTACATAGAGCCTAAGATATAAAAGTAGGATTTGGTAACACACTAGTGGCTGAATGAGAGCACAGCCAAACCCATTGTTTCCCAGTCTTATGTACACCATCTATTTACTCTAACACTCACAATTCACATCCCTCCCCTTTAGAATATAATAGCGCCGAAAGCATAACTAGATTTAAAGCTAAACTACAAGGAAAATTGGTTTTAGATATTGTGCTAGCCAAGTAAGATAGCCCTAAGTGTGGATAGCTGCTGCATAGTATAAAAATCATGCCTTGCTGTAAGCTGGATCCTTCACACAGAGCTGGATTTCCAGGTGTCGTAGGGAACAGAGATGCTGCGACAGCACCGAGGGGATCCTGTTGCATCCCCGCCCTCAACTATCTCTTCTCCTATTCACAAAATACTTATTGTTTTCACAAAATAAGTGTTGTGTGAATAGAGGAGGGGAGAGAAGGGGCAGATACCCAACACGATCTCTTTCGTGGGCCGAGCCGCGATGACGTCACTCTTGGGCATTTGCACAGGTGTCACGGCCGCAGCACCGAGCTCTAAAGGGATGGCATGAGTACGCTGTTTCTTCAGAGATAACAGTGACGATCTCCTAAACGGTGCATGTTTAGGAGAGATTCTTTGTACCTACAGGTAGGCTGGAAGTACAAGTGTTGAAGTAGTGTTTATGTCTTATGCTAATAAAAATAAAAAAAAAACTGCAATGCCTGTCTGCTAGCAACAAATGTGTTCTTTGTGTATACTGCCTGAGGCACATGTGTGGTGCAGCGTACACACCTAGTAGCTTATATCTTGGACCTTGATGACAAAAATGATAAAAACTCCAGGTGTTTGTGCAGGAGTTCTCTCATCAGTAGCCACCCAATAGCCAAAGAGAGAAGACATCAGATGTGGAAGGAGAAAAAGGCAGTGGATGGAGTAATGAGGAAAGCATTGCTGCCTGCTTTAACCTCTTGTTTGCAGTACTGCACAAAGCAGGGCACTTGCAGTGCCCACCAACCATGACAGGGCGTATATCTCCTGCTGTGGCAGTGACATGCATGTACATCCCTGGCCACAGAAGCTAAAGGGGATGCAGTTGGGGCAGGGGTAGCAAAAACACATCTTAAACTATGGGGTTTTACTACCCCACCAAACTGCAACTTTAAATGAACCCTTACTGCTCTGAGCACCCCTGCTTTCACACTGGTGTGCTGCAGTTTACCTGCACCACGGGTCCAGTGCAGTGCAACTGCAGCTTATTGGGTTAGCTGCGATTTGCCATAGACTTATATCCTGCATGTGAAAACATATCAAAACTCCTGCATTCAGTTTTGGTATGCTTTCAGAAAGTGCACTAAACCCACAGAATACAATAGAATTCTAAGCACAGCAAACCCACAGGAAAGCTGCAGGTGCACTGGTGTAGGCAAATGGCAGCACATCAGTGTGAAAGCAGCCCTATACTACTATGCCCAATGTTTGGTTCACACTGACCTGAAGAGCTCTTCTTTCCTGCTGCTGTCACCACTCTGGAGACCACTAGCTGGGATAAGAGGTGGAGTGCAGTTGGTATCACTCCGCATGGGACAGGAGCAGCACTACAGAGGAGGCATCAGCTTATACGACTCTTGCCCCCTACTACAGCTCCAACTTTACAAGTAGTGCCTCTGCATTACACTCTGTTTGATGCTCTGGGACGGTGAGTCAGCAAGCCCTGACCGTGATCTACCAGCCACCTGGCCGCGATCTACTGGTAGATCGCGAGCTACAGGTTGCTGACACCTGGTGTACAGTGTTAGCTCACCTTTTAAATTTTTCTGTAAAGGTGAACTAACACTGGGCACACTGGTATACTCACAGATAAATATATATTAGGGAGCGGTTTTACCTGCCAAAAGATTTGCATTTCTGTCCATTCACAGAGCCCTCTCAGGCAGCACTGGAGATCTGTTTTCTTCTCTGCTGCAGTTAAGTCACACTTATGGGTCTTGTCCCTCCCCCAGCCTGTGTGCCTGGACAGTGAAAAAAGAAGCAGCCCACTGATGAACTCACCTTTCTGTCATTCTTCTGTCTCCTACCAGGAATATTCCTTGTTAGCACGTGAGCGTTGCAGCACAACTGATTGGCTCCATGTGCTGCTGCTTCTTTCTCTCCCAGTTTGAGCTTTGCTTTACAAGGGCTGCAAGAGGCTGATACCATATCAGACCCTGGTACTTGGACAATGCCTGCCTTAGAACATGTACTTAATGATTTACCAATACTCATCATCTATAACAAAGTTAACAATTTTGGACGGAGGTCTTTTTTTGTTTTGTATCCTTGACTTAAATGCTCAGATTACAGATCACTATGTAAAGTTTTTTCTACACAACAAGCCACATACCTACTGGTCCTTCAATTCAATAAACACAGGTAAAGTATAAAGCAATGCTTTCACAACACCCTTGGATCCTGCCAAACTTTATAATTACCTCATCTGCTTCCTTTGCGATTTCTCTGAAAAAGTCTTCATCAAGTGTTGACCTGATGTAACATGAATATATAAATAAATACCAAAGCACATTTGTGTTTCCAGACAGAACCAAAAAGGTGAGGACATCACAGTAACTCACTTCTTAGTGGTGCTAGTTGAACGAGCAGCCCGGGTTTTGCTTGCAGAAGTAGAGGTCCGTGGTGATGGATCTGTATACATGACAACACAAATAAGATAGGCAGTTTAAAATCTCCATATATATTATGCAGCAAAGGAAATTGAGAGAAAAGATAACACTGTCCTTGTTTTTTCCCCAATTATGATTTTCGGGCAAATGGGGTTATGCCTTGCCTCCCACACATATTAGACCTGTATAAACTAAGCTCTACCTGTTAGCCCTGCCCTATCTGCATACAGCTGCTGGAAAAATGTTAAGATGCCTACATACATCAGAAAATATTTTCCCACTATAGCTGTTTAGAGACAGATCAGGAAGCTCATATGTGTGCAGGTCCTACACAACCATGGCAGATTCCAGCAGTTTATGGACAGGTCAGGGAACATTCTTACAATATGTGTGCAGGTCCTACTCAACCATTACAGACTCTAGGTAATAAAAGAGAGATTGGGGAACACTCATATGTACAGATCGTACTCAACCATGACATACTCCAGCAGTGTATGGACAGGACAGATCAGGGTACGTTCATATGTGTGCAGGTCCTACTCAACCATGGCAGACTCCAGCAGTGTAAGAACAGATCAGGAAATTCATATGTATGCAGGTTCTACTCAACCACTGTAGATTCCAGCAGTTTTGGACAGATCAGGGAACGTTCATATGTGTGCAGGTCCTACGCAAACATGGCAGACTCTAGCTAGTTAAGGACAGATCAGGGAACATTTATATTTGTACAGATTGCACTCAACCATTGCATGTTCCAGCTGTTTATGAACAGACCACAGAACGTTCATATGTGTTTTAAGTCTTACTCAACCATGGCAGACTCCAGCTGTTTATTAACAGATTAGAGAACATTCATATGTATGTAGATCCTACTCAACCAAACACAGGATCAAGCAGTTTATGGACCGATCAGGGGACCTTTCAATTCATGTCATACTGAGTCTCAGCTCCATTACACTGCAGGTAGAAATAATAGAATAACTTACCATCATCACCAAGAATATCATCAAGGAAATCATCAACAGAACCTTTATAATGAAGAAAAATAAGATCGTTAAGTGTTTATATGTTTCATAATTTATTTTTTATCCAACTAGACAACATTAAAGTGTATGTACTTTTTTTCATCTTAAACAAAGGTTACCTAAGTTATAAAACACCAAAAGGGGGATTTACTAAACCTTGAACATACAAAATCTAGTGTAGCTCTGCAAAGAACCCAATCAGCTTCCATGGTTAAATTGCACTCACATGGATAGGTAAGAAGTAGGCATTTCAAGCGATGGAGATCCAGTGGGAGCATCAGGTCCTTTGGCCACCCTCTGGGTGTTTTTCCCGCCACTCCATTGGTGTGCAGGGCTCAAGGAGTAGCGCAGGGATGATGTCACCGCATGGACCGGGTTTCCAAGATGTCACGTGTTCGGAGTATGCTCACTCCGACGTCAGGCCAGGTGAGCATGCGTGCCCAAAGTACCTGATGCTCCCGCTGGACCTACATCACATGACATGCCTACTTGTTACCTATCTATAGGAGTGCAATTTTACCATTAAATCTGCCTAATTTTAACTGTCTACACTCAGAGTGGCGTTGCTGTCTCTCTACTCTACCTGCATTAGTATTTACAGCTCTTACAGCCGGCTGCCTCCTCGGACAAGTCCATACTACTACAAGCCCCCCACTACAGATGGACTTGGACACCACCTCCACATGGACCTTCTACTAACCCCCATTGCTGATGGTCCATCCCCAAACGCACACAGAGTAAATGCGTCTTAGCGCTCCCTCCCCCACTCACCTCTAAAGGAAAAAGTTAACCTTTTTACCAAAAATAATAAATGCATATTTTTTTGTTTTTTTGCAGGTAAAAAAATGTGTATTTATTATTTTTTGGCTGCAGCAGCCTGGAAAGCATTGCACCAACAGATCACTGGTGCCATGCAGCTCTCCTGCAGACCTGTCAGTATATCTGCTTGCCGTATGTGATGTACGAGCAATCAGATATACCGACAGGAAGAATGAATGAACAACCACGGTGATTCACAGTGCCGTGTTAGTTCATTGAGGATTATAAGCCGACAGCTGCTAAGGCTGTAGGGACTCGAAGTGCTTCCATTCTCAGAATACTGTGAATGAGTGACGCGGCCGGGCAGTCGGAGACCCGCAAAGCCACTTTTTTTTAAAGTTTGATAGTTAGCGGGGGGGGGGGGGGGGGTTTTCGGGGTAAAGCTGTGGAGCGGGGGCTGGTGCATTCATACCATGTTATGCTATGAATATGGGTGTAACATGGAACATGTTATGAATGGTGGACTTATCCTTTAACTGAACAAGCTGAAGTTAGAAGCTGGTTGGCTACCATGCACAGGTGAACCAGATTCTGAGTGCTAAAGCTTTAACAAATCTCACCCACATGTATTCTGTGGATGGCCAAAGGATGAAGGAAGCAAAAAAAAAAAAAAAAAAATGACACCAGCACTGCAGTCTCACGCAGTTCTTTTGTCCAGAGCATGTCAAAAGTACAAAGGGAGCTGTACTATCTGGCATAAAGAAAAGTATTTATTTTAACCGTTTTCCCACCACCCTACAGCAGATATATTGCTACAGGGCGGCAGGGGTAGGGGTGCACAAAATCACATATACATATATAGATACAGTATGTGTGATTTTGCATTTACGGGTAGGGGGAGCGTGCAAGCTGCCCATTCTACTCTAACATCAACAAGGCATTTTTGTCCACACAACTGCCACTCACTGGATATTTCCTCTTTTTCAGACCATTCTCTGAAACCCTAGAGATGGTTGTGCATGAAATCCCAGTAGATCAGCAGTTTTTGAAATACTCAGACCAGCCCATCTGGCACCAACAACCATGCCACGTTCAAAGTCAATTAAATCCCTTTTCTCCCCCATTTTGATGCTCGGTTTGATCTTCAGCAAGTCATCTTCACCACGTCTAGATGCCGAAATGCATTGAGTTGCTGCCATGTGATTGGCTGATTAGCAATTTGTATTACCAAGCAATTGAACAGGTGTACCTAATAAAGTGACCGGTGAGAGAAGTTCTGCTTTAGTGCAGAACTAAATCCTCCTATCCTTTTCAGCCAAGAAAGCTGCCATCTTAGCATCTGTTTGATCTGTAACTGCCATTATGCTGCACATGTGATCAGTTATGACACCAGACATTTCATAATTTGAGAGTCTGGTTGAGAACACAAGCAAACATGACAGTTAGCATTTCTGGAATGCCAGGAATGTAACTGTTTTTTTTAAATCATTCCAGTAGAACTTTAGGTCAAAATATAAAAAAGGCCAAACAGGTAGGAATTTTAATGCAGAAGAGACATGCTTTGTCTCATCTGAATTAAAGTTACTTACCTGCCTGTCTGCCGTTGTATAGTGAGCTGTGCACGTGCAGCTTACTGTACAAATTCATATATAAAATAAGACCACTTCCTTAAAATAATAAATGTTAACCCCCACAGCACCATCAACACCTTCACCCTTGAAGATGTACAATTGGGATTAAATAAAAAGTGCCAAAAATAAAATTTTATTCCAGAACAGTGTCCTTACAATGAAAATCAAAATCCTATAAGTCCACACATTAAATAAAATTAGAATATATAGTATAGCGTATATCTTCTTCTTATGTGATATGCTCCAAAACAAACCAACACTGTTATTAGAATTAGATTAGACAATTAGAAGTGTCACAGTGTTGGTTTGTTTTGGAGCACTGAAGAGTGATTCACATACACAGTGTCCTTCACTGTTTGGATTCACGATTTCTCACTTTGTTCACCTTTTACACTAATTACCAATTTTATTGGTTATTCACTTGAGTGTTGTCACTATTTTTTATGTGGTTAAAAAGGTAATACACTATGTGATATTTCTTTTTTTGAGGGTATATCATCGTGGAAAGCATTGGAAGTATTTGAAGGACTATATAATTTTTGGACACTTTTTTATCACCATTATCACATAAGAAGATATACGATATACTATATATTCTAATTTTATTTAATGTGTGGACTTATAGGATTTTGATTGTAAGGACACTGTTCTGGAATATAATTTATTTTTGGCACTTTTTACTGTACAAATTCGGCAATGCTGAAAATGAGTGCACTCCTGAGCATGTGAGGGTGTGACATTATCCCCACCCAGCCAAGGACAGTGGCTGGTGATCTAGACCTGGAAGCCGAACGCCCAAAGATGTCGGCAGCAAGACGAAAAGATCCATGATGTTGCATTGCTGGATCCAAGGTGAGGATAGTTCCACCTTAAATCAATGGGTTTAGTTCCGCTTTAACAGTTTTTTAAAACAGTTTGGACAGAACAAACGTACACCAGGAACTAACCTTTCAAGCCTCTTTTATTCTTGGAAGCCTGGGACATAAAAGAATAAAGACAATGATTTAATTAAATACTTATAAACCTTTCATGGTCATATGAAATAACAGAGATTGAACACAGTGAACTAAAATGTTAATGGGGACTATTCATTTCAAGACTGCCCAGCTGGAAGGGTCTGATCTAGGGTGGCCACCTCATCCTCATGACACAGGTTCTGTGGCTGATTAGGGTGGTATTTAAAGTCACTCGGTGCCATATCTGCATTAAATTAGCCTCAGAACCTGTGTCATTAATATGTGTTCGGATTTAAGGGCTCTTTCACACGCATGTCCCGATTTTCAGGCAGACCCAATTGGAACCTCCATTCTCCTCTATGGAGTGGCAGGTGTAAACGGACATGTGTCTGTTTACACCTGCCGACATATGATCCACCAAAAAGGGATGGATGGGGTTCCAACTGCCCTTCCATCTGTCTGATCGGGTCAGATGAAAACGGACAGGCAATCCGTTTTCATCCGACCACCCACTGAGGAGAACGAGCAGCTCTGTGTCTGTTCTGCATAAGCGGAGCGGACACGGAGCTGTCCTCCGCTTGCTCAGCGGGGATCAGTGGAGAGATCCCCCGCTGAGCAAGTGGACCTGCTAAACAGGTCCACTCCATGTGAAAGGACCCTAAACCTCCCTGGAGGTATTCCTGAGTGTAGCTCGGGGTAAAGTTTCAGCACCACAAGCGGTAACCCCAAACTACACTCGGGAATACCTTGCAGCGCTGCTCCGGGATCCCTTCTTCACTTACCTCGTCCTTCGCTCCCGCGATGTCCCCCCTGCAGTATCCCCGGCAATGTCCTCCAGCCAATGCCGGCATTCGTCTTCTGGGTTCCGTTCCCTGCGACGTCGGGACGTACGGGGACGGAATGGCGGGAAATTAAAAAAACGTGAAAAAGTGACATTCACTAAATACACTAAAATCACATAGTACAACATTACTGTATCAAACCATTTCACATACATTTTGTCCCGAGTGCTTTGTCCTGTGCCCTGCCTGCATTTGTACTGTTCTTTCTGCCTGGAAACTGAGAAACGTCTATGGCGTCCAAAAAGCGTCCCTTTAGGTCAAAATCGGTATTAGACCAGCTAGAGAACAGCGATAGTAAATCAGAACCACTTGCAGAATTGAGTGATAATGATTCGTGGGGATATTCGTCATCAGACACTGAAAACGATTTTGCGGCTTTGCTCAGTGATGTGCGAACTTGGCGCTCTATTTCAAATTTCAGTGTTTTTGGTTTGATTATATTATTGAATTAAATGTATTATATTATTTTTTATGATTATTTATTAAATTATAATTTATGATTTCGTGTTTAAAATTTTAAATGTTTACTAGACTCTTGTTCGGACAGATTTCAGAGAGTTATTCCTAAGAATTACAGGTCTACAATAAAAAAACTACATATTTCAAAGCAAAAAATGTACCGCTTTGAGCACAGAAATACTGACATAATCAGACCGCTAGGGAGGCTACGGGATGAGGTGGCAATCCTAGTCTAAACAGGTCTGTCTCTCAGCTTTTCAGGTGGACCTGATCAGATGGCCCATTCACCTCTATTGACCGGTAGGTGTAAGGCCTCTTTCACAATGACGATCCGATTGGGTATGCCTGTCAGTTTTTTAGGTGGATCTTCCATAGCTCTCTATGGAGTGGCGGGTGTCAGAGTTCATGTGTGAACCACTGGCATCCGATTCTGTCTATTAAAATAAGATGGAGGGGGATCCATTCCCCATCCATCCAGAAGATGGATGGAAATGGACAGGCGGTCCGTTTCCATCCAACAGCCCATAGAGGACAGCAGGCTGTGTCCGTGTCCACTCTGTATAAGCGGATCAGACACGGACCTGTCATCTGCTTGCTCAGTGGGGATCAGCAGAGAGATCTCCTGCTGAGCAAGCGGATCTGCTTAACAGGTCCGCTCCATGTGAAAGGATCCTTAAGGGACGAGGTGGCAACCCTAGTCTGATCAGGTCCATCTATCAGCTTTTCAGGTGGACCTGATCAGATGGTCCGTTCACCTCTATGGACCGGTAGGTGTAAGGCCCCTTTCACACAAACGGTCTGATCGGGTCTGCCTGTGAGTTTTTCAGGTGGATCCGACTAGACCATCCATAGCTCTCTATGGAGTGGCGGGTGTCAGCGTTCACCAATAAGATGGATGGGGATCCATTCCCCGCCCGTCCAGCGGATTGGATGATAGTCAGATGGAAATGGAGTGGCGGTCCGTTTCCATCCAACAGCCTACAGAGGAAAGCAGTCTGAGTCCGCTCTGCATAAGTGGGTCAGACACGCACCTGTCAACTGCTTGCTCATCGGGCAGATCCCCCACTTGTTCAGTGGGCGGATCCCCTGCTGGGCAAGTTGATCCGCTGATGGATCCGCCCCGTTTGAAAGGGGCCTTAATGGACTTTTGTTTGTTAACAGCTGTCTACCTCCAATTGGCTAAGGAAGGAGATCTGTCCTCCTCTGTCTAGGCAGATTGGATTGGAGGTAGATGGGTGTAAACAGACAGCAGAGCCCATTTACTGCTGCTGGTCCATAGAGCAGAGCAGGCTCTGTCTGTGTCTTTTCTGCAGAAACTGAGCAAACACGGACCCGCCATCGTCCCGCTCTGCTCCAATCAGCGCACAGCTCTGAGTCCGCCCCGTATGAAAGGGGCCTATGCTCCATTAATGATGGATTCAGCTCTGGGGCTTCAGATTGTACTACAAAGTAATGCTGGCCATACACGTATAGACTTCCGTTCAGGAATTTTTGTTTCAACAACATTCGTTTGATTTTCTAATCATTAGTGGGATCAAATCGATGTTCATTTTCGACAGCAGAGATGAGAAAATTTGAAGGGGTAGGAAGGAAACCTTTTCTCGATCTAACAAATTTTTGGCGGGTGTATGCGGTTATTGTTCAGAAATGACATTCATTTGAAAGTCGAATGTTAAAAGCAAAAGACAATTTTCAAATGACATTCGTCCATTCATCGAATGTGAAGAGAGTTTTTGTATGACTTTTATTAGGCTGGTCATACACTATACAATTTTCTGCCCAATTTCCTTTAGATTTATCTTCAACTGTGTAGTGCAAGAGCCGGCCTAATTGGATACAATCGAAAGCAGGGGCGAACTGACAACTCATGGGGCCCCGGGCAATAGGGGATCATGGGGCCCCTGTGTCCTTGCCCAAACTCAAAAAAGCCTATGAAAAAGGTACCAGGGGCATCTCATGGGGCCCCCTGCTGACCTCGGGCCCTCGGGCAGTGCCCGAGTTTCCAAATGGTCAGTCCGCCCCTGATCGAAAGTATTGTTTAGGTTTGACCTCCTATTATATGGTTTTTGGTAAATCTAAACCAAAAATCTCAAGAAGATCGTATAATGTGAGGCCAGTCTTATGAACATTCTCGACCACAAATCTACACGTGTATGGCCTGCATTAGGCTGTCCATAGACGGGTCGAAAACCGTCCGTTTTTAAAAAAAAACAAAAAATCAGCCGACGTTACCACCAACGGTAGAAAAAAAAAAATCAGCTGATTTTTGTCCCGTCTATGGCCGGCATTTAATTACTTCTGTCCCTGCAAAGAGCTCCGCAATTATATTTGACATGAAAAAGTATTGCGGTTGCAACAATGTATCCATTTGTATCCATTTCAGATACAGATGGTTTATTCGGATACAAATAGACACATTGTTGCAACCGCAATACTTTTTCATGTCAAATATAATAGTGGACTGGAATTCTTATTCTTCTTCTTGCAGGTCATGGCTCATGCGAAGATTTTATATCGGTAAAACGATTGGCCGATTTGCCCATCATTGCCGGGAAAATCGGATGATTTTTTTTCCAACTTTACCAATAAAAAAAATGTGCCAAAACCCCGAAACACGGCCGACCAATTAAGCCACTAACGGTGTGAAAATCGGCCGATTTTCGACCCGTCTATGGCCTGCATTAGGCTGGTCATACACTATACAATTTTCTTCCAGTTTTCTGCCCAATTTCCTTTGGATTTACCTTCAACTATGTAGTGCAAGGGCCTGTCTGATTGGATACAATTGAAAGTGTTGTTTAAGTTTGACCTCCTATTATACAGTTTTTGGTAAATCTAAAGCAAAATTCTCAGTAAAATTGTATATATGTATGGCTGGCCTTACAAATATTCTTGTCCGCACATTTACACGTATATGGACAGCCGTAAGCTGGCCATACACGTATAGATTTTCCTTCAAGAATATTCATTTGATTTTCTAATTGTTAGTAGGCTCAAATCGATGTTTATTTTTGACTGCAGTGACGGGAAAATTCGAAGGGGCAGGAAGGAAAACTGTTCTCGATCAAATGAATTTTCAGCCAGTATATGTGGTTATTGTTCAGAAATTACTTTCATTTTAAACTCGAACATTAAAAGCAATTTTCAAACATTCGTCCGTTCACCGAATGTAAAAAGAATTGTCGTACAACTTTTCTTACAATTCTCGTCCGAAAATCTACACGTGTATGGCCAGCCTAGTTCGCCATACGTGTAGATTTTCGGCTGAGAATATTTGTAAAAAAAAAAAAATGTATGAAAATTCTTTGAACATTCAAATATCGTTCGAAAATTGTCTTTTGCATTTAACATTCGAGTTTAAAATGAAGGTACTTTCTGATCAATGACCGCCTACGCTGGCTGAAAATTCCTTGGATTGAGAAAAGTTTTTCTTCCTGCCCCTTTGAATTTTCCCATCGAAAACAAACATCGGTTTGACCCCACTAACGATTAGAAAAATCGAATGAAAATTTTTGAACACAAATCTACATGTGTATGGCCAGCTTTAGCCTGCAAATCGCAGGATTTCATTTACAAGAAAGAAACAGGGATCACCGCGAACAATGTGCTCCGACCCCGGGCTTGGAGAAGAGGTGACTGGCCTATGACAGGCACTACTACGTCCTGTGTGGTGTCTATGGAGGGGAAGAGGGCTCACACACCATGCTCCCGATGTCTTCTCCTCACACCCGTCCTCTATGGACCGCACTCCGGCCGGACACTGCATCAATCACAACGCCGGAAAGCGTCTCTCCATCACTATAGAAACTACCGGTCCACCAGGCTTTCATGGTCACATGACCCGGGACTGCAGAGCAGTCTACTGAGCCACTGTACCGCCCATTTCCTCCTGAGCCCGCCCTTCCGGCTGAGAGCGGTGCACTATGGGAGTTGTAGTTCCGCCCACAGAGCTATGCTGATTGATGGGGAGAGTGAGAGGCGCTGCTAGGGATAGAAGTGTGAGCCTGCGCAGATGTCTGTGTCATTTATCTATATATTTGTGTATGTGTGTGGATTGCAGGAGACAAATATCATTCCAATAGGCTTTCTTTTCTTGGAGGACCAGTTCACACTACATGCGTTTCAGTTGCTTTTTTTCTGCATCCAAAACGCACATAAAGTCGGTTATATGGTTGCCAATGTCATAGTCCACATCAGTGCAGGGGCGGACTGACCATTTGGAAACTCAGGCACTGCCCGAGGGCCCGGGGTCAGTAGGGGGCCCCATGAGATGCCCCTGGTACCTTTTTCATAGGCTTTTTTGAGTTTGGGCAAGGACACGGGCCCCATGATCCCCTATTGCCCGGGGGCCCCATGAGTTTTCAGTCCACCCCTGCATCAGTGCTTGCAGTTCCAGTGCGTTCTGGATACAGAAAAAAAAAGTAGAACAGGCTGTATTTTTCCTGCACAGAACTGTACTAGAATGCAGTAAAACACACCAGAAAGCACCAAAAACGCACATGTCCCTATTTAAATTAAAGAAAAAAAGGGGGGAAATGAACTGGAATGCATAAAAAAAAAAGCACGTGGAAGCATCCGGAACGTATCTGGACTGTGTTTTCTATAGTGTGAATCGGCCCTAAGGGCCAATTCACACTATCTGCATTTCAGTTGCTTTTTTTTCTGCATCCAAAACACACAGAAAGTAGGTTATATGGTTGTCAATGTCATAGTTCACATCAGTTCTTGCAGTTCCAGTGCGTTCCGGGTGCAGAAAAAAAAAAGTAGAAGAGGCTGCATTTTTTTCTGTACAGAACTGTACTGGAACACGGTAAAACGCATAAAAAAATGCATCAATGCAGCACTGCATGGCACGTTTTTGGAAGAGTCCTGTGCTACTTTGATGCGATTCAGCTGTGAGTTTGGCCCCAATGGAAGTTCAGCAAAAAATGCATGTACATGCAGGTTAACAAGCTAGCACCCACCGGCATCCTAACAACCAAGAACTCATCCCTGTTGTCAGCTGGGGATTCTTAGCTGATGGCAGGGATGAGTCACTAGTTGTTAGGATGCCGGGTACATAGTGTCCTACTCATTCACCAAAAAATCTAAAGTGTAAATAAATAAACACAACACAGTTTAAGGCAAGCCCTTTGTTAAAATTTTTTTTAAAAAAGGCCCCCAATGCACATCCATTGTCAGTCATGTTGTCCAGCGATGTAAGCCCAAGTCAATGACAATGAATGACGGCCTCTGACCTACAGGGAAAAAAAAAAAACGCTGCCCGCTGACACCTGACCAGTTGCTTGTCCAGCATTGGATGACGCTCTGCTTTTCCCATCCCCTAATGAGATCATCGACCAAATATGTTCATATATGGCCAATCACGTAACCAGATGACCCTGCCTTACTTCAGCAGTGGGGGAAAGTGCTTCGCTGGGCAAGTAACAGGAGCGGTCGGGTTTCGACAGCAGTCATTCATGGTGATTGATGTGGCTCTACATCTTTGGATGACATGATGGACTATAAATGACTATATACTCCACACTCATTCACATAGGGGACAGGATCTGGGGACCCCCTTACTGTTAAAGAGGGCTTCCAGATTCCAATAAATTCCTGCAGACACCCACAACCACTGGGCCAGCATTGTGGGGTTGAGACCCCTTATCCTCATCAACAAGTACCCCCTGTTTGGTGCGAGTGGCCTAGTTGGTATGGTTCTGCAGGGGGAGAAGCTGCATGCCTGACCTCAGAGAGAGTTCTGAAGACATCCTCTTTAATGACGAAACACGTTGGACGCTGCTTCTGACATCACTTCTGCTCATTAGAATGCACACTGACACCCGTTGCAGGTGTTCTATGTGTTCTGCTTAGGGGCCCGCTAAGTCAGTAGGATGATTATTTTAAAGATTTTAATAAACAGTAATAAGTTATGTAATGTTTTTCTTGCATCCTCTTCCCATTTCTGGCTGTGGGATATTCAGAATGGAAGATTATTACAGTGCATTTGACCCACTTGGTTTTAGAGGTGCATATTCATCTGGTGAGATTGGGAAACATTGAGAGTTCCAAAGGGCCACATCACGGAGAAGTGTGGCGAAACTGAGTGAAGTTTTGTAGAAGATTGCACACATCGATTGGAATTCTGAATGGACAGTTTTTTGTATATTGCACTCTGAAGCACAGTTTGCTAAGGACAGTTTTGCACTTTGCATTATATATTGATGTGTTACTTATGGTCTTGCACTGTTTAATGATTGGTTCTTTTATGATTAAAGTGGTAGTAAACTCATTTTTTTTATTTTACCTACGGGTATGTTTATAATAAGGCTTACCTGTCGGTAAAATATCCTTTAAACGTGCACCATTTAGGGGATGATCTCTCTTTTTTTTACGCTCTGAAGGAACGGTATGCCCGTGCCATTCCTTTAGAGCTGTGATTCCGGTGCACATACGCGGGAGTGCCGTCATCGTGGCCCGGCCTGTCAGATGGCTGGAGCTCGTGAACCCGGAAATAAGACCGAGTGAAGATGGAAGCCTCTACAGCACTGACAGCGCGCTTCATTTTAAGTAAAGTTTTGCATTATGCACTAATATGCAATGCACACTGGCACATTATGACATTACCTTTCTCTTTTCTGGCGTTAACTACTGCTTTAATGGTCTGTACTGTGCACCAGTTTATGGGTTTATTTAGCACTATTGCAATATATTTTTTTCTGTGTTTTGCACTGAGGAGAGGCTTCAGTCTAGCCCATCTGCCGTTAAGCCCAGATTGGTGGAGGGCTGTGATGTGATGGTTGTCCTGGAACTTTGCCCATTTCCACACAAGATCTCTGGAGCTCAGTCAGAGTGACTATCGGGTTCTTGTTCACCTCTCTCACTAAGACCCTTCTCTCCCGATTGTGCAGTTTGTCTAGGCCAGCCTTTCTCAACCAGGGTGCCTTCAGGCTTCTTCAGGGTTGCCTTGGCAAAATGCCCAAAAATTGTGTACAAGCCCAGGAGGTAGATCAAAAACCTGACCTAACAACAATGACATCATCAGTTGAT